ACCTGGGAGAAGCCTTGTGGAAGGATGGCACATTGCTACACAATGGGATACAGGCGATAAGAGTACCCCAGACCATATTCAGAAGGGATCTTCACACCAGCAGTATCAGCAATCCAGGATCTTGTAGCAGTGTAGAATTTCAGACCTATCCCAGACCTGTAGATAAGACAAAATTCCCATGCACATTGAAAGTCTGAGTCACACTGATATAGGGTATATACTGTAAATACATTCCAGCAATAAAGCCAGGGAAACTAAAGCACAGAATGACCATGCCAGAAAGGAGCCTGTAGGGACCCCACTAGCCCTGCAGTTGGAATAGTCAGAGCCAATCCTAGAGGAAAGAGGCTGTGCACACTGTTGTATGAGGAGAATGTGATATGTGTGCCTGGGGTTATGTTTACCTGCACTGGGACAAGACAAGTCAAGCAACCCTCAGTCCCACCGCCCTATGTGGCTACAGAGTGGCACACTGTTGACTTATCTGGAAGCTTCCTTGGCCAGGCTGCTCTCCTGGTGGGGTAAATGTTCAGGTATCAGCATTTGTAAGAATATACCCAAGTAATGCCAACAGACAGTCAAGGTTGAAAACCACTGCTTTCAATCTTTCATCCTCCATGTTTCTTTGTTCCACTGAAGGTGAAAGTGAGCTGAATTTCTAGCTGTTGCCATTAAAGACACAAAACCAGCTGGGCATGATGGCACGGGCCTGTAATCCCATCACTTGGGAGGCTGAGGTAGGAGAATTGCCATGAGTTTGAGGCCAGCTTGGGCAACATAGTGTGTTGAAGGCCAGCCTGGACTATATGGAGAAACCTTGTCTCAAAGACAAAATAGAACAAGACACAAAACTAAGTTTAAGTCATAAGTTTATTAGTTTATTATTTATATTTACAAAATAGTTGCAAACTGAGTTTAAGTAATGTTTATTAGTTTATTATATATATATATATATATATTCCAAAACAGTTCCATAAAGATATGGACCTAGTGAAGTCATCTAGTATCCTAGAATTTTTCTAGTTTTTTTGCTTTTTTCTAGAAAAAATCTTGCTATGCAGTATGGGCAGGCCTGCCTCTTGAGTATTGAGATTGTGGGTATGTGATGTCCCAATGCACAAAATGTGGGTATGTAATGATGGGATTGTGGGATTACGGGTATGGTCGTGTCCTGGAACTTTTAAAAATACAGTTTTCAGGATTCTAATAGTAGGGTCTAGCTCTGTTATTGACTTGAACATGGACACAGTTGCCTACTTTTCTACAGACCATATTCAGATGGCTTGGTGCCCTTATCTGTCTGTATATGGAGCAAATGTTTGGTGTGTGCCTGATACTAAACAGTACAAATAGTTTGAGTCAAGGAGGAAGAAAAGATGATTTTTTTTTGCTATTTAGAGTTCAGAGAAGAGACCTCAACAAGGAGGTATTCTCTTAGTCAGCTCCTTCTAGGTTGAACTGTGTTTATACAGACAGAGCTGTCTTCCAAAAACATGTGTTTTAGTCACTTTCTTTTTGCTAAAAGAAAATACCTAGAGCTGGACATGGTGGCTCACGCCTGTAATCCCAGCACTCGGGAAGCTGAGGCAAGAGGATCATTACGAGTTCAGGAACAGCCTGGGCTACCAAGTGAGTTCAGGCCCTGTCTGAACTGCATAGCAAGATCTTGTCTCAAAAAGAAAAGAAAGAAAGAAAATACCTACAAAGAAAGAAAGAAAGAAAAGAAAGAAAGAAAATACCACAATTTAAAGGAGGAGAGGCTTATTTTGGCTCACAATTTAGTCCACAGTCAGCTGGCTCCAAAACAGACTTCCGTGGCAGAGGTGCAAAGATCTGGTCTCTGGCTCCAGCCCCCAAGTTTTAGGTTTTCACTTTCCAGGCCTCTTCTAATCACATCTACCCAATTTGTGCCCACCTCTGGCATGTCAGTTGCCTGGTTAACTTATCTCATATTTTTGCCAACAGGATCAAGTTAATCAAGAGTTAAACACAAAGTATCCACAATTCTGTGAAGAGGCAATCCAAAGAAAACATGTTCAGCCTCACTAGTAATCAAAAGAATGCAAATGTTGTATATTTTTTTCAATTACCAAATAAACAAAGGTGAAAATATCAAAATACTAGAGTTTGAGATACTTTAGGAAAATGTGAGAGGCGCATCATATACACTAGTGAGGGTGACCATCAACACAAGCTTTTGAGACAGCAGTTTGGTAATATCTGTCTATCAACCGCATAAAAATGTATAGAAAATCTACTTCTGAGAATGTATTCTAAGGAATTGATTGATTAGGAGCCAAGGATAGCCAAGCCAGTGTTGTTTATAGTAAAGAATAACTAGAAATAAACTAAATGTCTGCCAAGGACTGTTCATCTCAATTATAGTACATTCATATGATGGAAATATAAAAAAAGTCTTAAAATGATATGAACATTTATAGGCATAAAAGATATCCACTAGGCATTATGTCCTTAGGCTCTGTGGTGCCATTAATGTAAAGTTGATGCATACAAACACGCACGCGCACACACACACTCACACATACACACACACAAGTACTTACATGCATGGGGCCATCTGGAATGGCAGCCTTGGACATATCAGCCATGATGTTTTCTGGTTGTGGGGGGGGGGTCTTACTTTCTTCTTCCTTTTTTGTGTCTAAAATTGCAAAAGTTATATTCATTATTGTTAACGAATAGCTCACACTAACAGTATATCTTATGTGTCAGGTACTTCACTAATTGCTAACATCATTCTTCCTGAATAAGGTAATAAGAAATTAAAGAATGTCCTTAAGTCCACTCCAGAAAATGGCGGAGCTGGGATTCAAAACCTTATAGTCTTGCTCCTCAGACTTGGCTGTTGCTACACTAATGAGCCCAGTGGTCTACAGTCTCTGAAATCCTGGCCTCCTCAGCAGTCCTCCTTTTCTCAAAAGCAGCAACTGTTAGCTTCGCAGAAAACTGTTATCCCAGTACTCTGGGAGGCTGAGGCAGGAGGATTGAAAATTTGAATCCAAAGCGTGCAATTTAGTGGGACCCTGTTTCAGAAAGTACACAAAAGGGCAGGGCATGAAGCTTAGCACGAGGCCCTGGGTTCCATCGGCAGCACCGCACACATATGCACAAAAGAAAATAGCCAGCATTAGTCATTTGACATGCATTCTTCCAAAACTTTCCTCGGGAATTTTTCAGAAGTGTGTGTGTGTGTGTGTGTGTGTGTGTGTGTGTGTGCACGCACATGTGTGTGTGTATACATATACATGCATGTTGTCTTTCTGTTTATAAAACAGGATGGTGCCCCCTCCCTTCAGTATGTAGGGTTCGCCCTCATACTTTGTATTTATCTCTGGAGAACATGAGATATGTGGAGCAGACGTAACCATTCTTTCACTGGAAACTGCTGTTTTTCAGTTCTTCCCCTTAACAGACAGCTGCAGGGAGCAGCCTGCACAAGGCTTTGGGTGTAGCAATGTGGTATATTCTCCGGATAAGCCCCTAAAAATGAAATCACTATGCTGAGAGGCATGCACACTAAACCAGAAAACGCCCTCATCAAACTGCTACGCCCCCCGCCCCACAGAACCTGAGCAGTCAGGGCCTCGTGTTCCTACGCACACAAGAAAGTGCCAATCTTTTCAATTTTTACCAACATGAGAAGTGAAGATTGCTGTTTGACTTGTAGTAATTTAAAGCCGTTGATTACCAGTAGAATTGAGCATCTTCTTATTTATTGGTCATGTTTCTGCTCAGAATCATTCACTTTTTACTGAATAATTTGAGTTTTTCTTATTAATTTGTAGGAGCTTTATTATAAATATTTGTCTCTTGATGCTCTGTTTTTCATCGGACATTACTTTTCTTTGCATTTGGTTAATGTCTTATTTTTGTATGAAGGTTTTTGTTTTATTTTTATGTAATCAAACTTGTCAGTTTTTTCCTTTATGGTTTTATATCTTGTTTAGGATATCCCTCTCCACAGTATTCTCCAAGAATATAATACTCTCCTGCATTCTTTTCTAGTACATTTACATTTTTGTTATAGGCTTGATTTTATGTTTATACTTTAATTCTAAAAGAATTTAGTATTTTTTAAAGACAAAAAGTAGAAAAACTAGAAATAAAGTTTTAAAACAGGCTAATAGGACAGTAACAATAACTAATAGACTGTGTATTGTTATCTTCACAGTAATTGCTCAGAGTACAAGATATAGACATGAAATACTGTCCAAACCATATTAGCACAAATCTTCCATTTCACCAAACTAAGAGAAACTCACTGTATAACTAACTGTCCTAACGATCTTGTGTATATATGTTTTCTTCCTTTCTCCTTTACTCTATCAGTTTCTCTTTCCTTTTGAACAGTTTCTTCTCACTTTACAATATCTATTGTATGTTTTGGATCTTACTTACTCTCTCAGGTTCTTACACTAGTGAGAGAATTCAATGTTTACACCTGTCTTATTTATTTCACTAATGAGTATGCTCTTGAATTGCATCCATTTACCTACAATAAAGAATTTAGTATTGCATTTGGTGAAAAGTAGGGATTTAAAACTTTCTAAATTTTTAGGCTTATCATCTTTTAAACAATACCTTTAACAAAACTCAACTTCCCATGGGTGCCCTGTGTATTTCTAGACTGCTCTGTTGGTCCCTTTGTGTATATCTTATCTGGAATCACTTTACTTTATTTACTTAAACATCTCAGCAGCAAGTTTTTATATCTGCTAAGATATATCCTATCCCTGTTTCTCTTCTCTTAAACTTTCTCTAATCCTCTCCAGAAATTTACTTTTTCAGAGGAACTTCAGAATTAGATCATCATGGCCCTAAAATATTCCCTTGAGATTTCAGTTAGGGCAGACAGAAGCTACTTACTAATTGGAGGTTAATATCTTACAAAGGTGGGCTCTAAACTCTGCTTGGGAGACTCAGGGAAGACCTGTCCTCAGGGCACTGGCCATGCTGAGCCCCATCCTTACCCCTTCCAGGTGGATAAAGTTTGAAGAAAAGGTAGAGGAAGGAGGCGAACGCTGGAGCAAGCCCCATGTGTCCACACTGTCCCTGCACAGCCTCTTCGAGCTCCGCACCTGCCTGCAGACAGGGACGGTGCTGCTGGATCTGGACCGTGGCTCCTTACCACAGATCATAGGTGAGGCAAGATCACCTCTGTATCTCTCTTGTGGTTCCCACAAACCAGGGCATCTCTCCTCGCTTCATCCCACCTGCAAGTCTGTGGGACTGTCCTGTCCTTGATACCTTCCTGATTCTACAGAAACCAGAGGGCTGATACTTCCCAGTCCACATCCCAGCAGCTCCAAGTTTCAGCACCGTTTAGAGCCCCATAGTGAGCAAACAAATTGTTCTCCGAATTGCTGTCCAGCAATGCAACAGAATGGGACAAAGGCCTCCTAGTGTGGTCAGAAATACCTATTGCCATGACAACCTATTTCTTTTCAGGATAAAATGAGTCATTAGGAAATTAACTCCCACTTAAAGGAGTGTCAGAGAGGAGGTGGCTTACCTTGATTGTCCCTAAGAATGTCTACAGTTTCATTCTAGCACATTTGGTCTTGCCAGGAGTATTTTACCTAAAATATCTTTCTAAAAATAATTCATTTTAGGATTAAACCCATGTAGTATGGTTCTTTTGTACTTCCTGGAGCACTCAAATGTATTACTTAACTAATTCCTCACAACATTGATAGAAGGAGCAGAAATTTCTGTATACACCTATACATACACACAGACACACATGTACCCAGAACGTGAAGAGACTGAAAGTTTCTACCTGGGTTTCTACCATTGGTGGCAAAGTCAGGAGTATTTCCATGTCCTTTGTCACCTTAGCTCACTTGCAGTCCCACTAATAACAGGTAAAACTGAAGACCCCCACACCCGGGTTCTACTCTGTCCCTCATGGACAAGACATGTTTGTTTCCCACCCAGATGATGTCATTGAGAAGCAGATTGAAGATGGCCTTCTGCGGCCAGAACTTCGGGAGAGGGTCAGCTATGTCCTTTTGAGGAAGCATCGCCACCAAACTAAGAAGCCCATCCACCGCTCCTTAGTGGACATCGGAAAATCAGTCTCCTCCACCTCAAGTGAGTTGGGCTATCTGTGGGTGTCCACTGGCTAAGGAGCAAGTCTCAGGCCCAGGCCCAGGGGAGCCTACCTTGGTGGCTGAGAATGTCTGACTTCATGATCCTGGACAAATTATGACAATTCCTCAGGCTCCTTCTCTGAAAGGCCCATGAGGTCCTCAGCAATACCCCAATGTTGTCCCCACCACCAGAATAGAGATTGCTGAGAAGAGCTGGTTCCCAGCCCAGGCCACACATTATTGTTCTTTGGGGTTTGACACCTGGAGAATTGGATTCAGTGGTCTGAGGTCTGGCCTCAGCTAGGGGCTCCTTGTACATACACTCTTTGAGGACCTATCAGGGATGGTATGCTTAGGAAGGGCCTGAGAGCTTTCCACAGGATCCCCAAAGAGACATCAAAAGCTCTGCAGAAAACAGAGCTTATGGAGGTGGTAGAGGGGCTGGGTTCGAAGATGCCAAGGCTTACACTTCTGGCCACAGAGCTCATTCTGAAAAGCAGAGCAAGGGACCATCTAGGGGGAGCAGTGCCCACCTCCAGCCCTCCACTCTCAGGATCTGAGTCAAGATGCCTGCAGACCCAGTCAAGGGTAGAGTCGACAGTTACTAAACAAAGACCTTAAGGAAATTCTTTACGTGAATTGTGTTAAAATGGGAAAGTGTTTAACATATCCAAATAAGAGCATACTCAGCACTTCGTGTTCCAGACACTGTTTGGAGTGCTATTCCTGAGTGAACTCACTTCATCCTCACAATAACCTCTAGTGTAGGTGCTGTTCCCGTTGTCCTCAATTTAGACGCCTGAGGCACAGAGAGGTTAAGTGACTGACCACACAGCTAGTAAGTGGTGGAATTAGAAACCAGCCCAGGCCGTCTCTCACTCCTAGTGCCAATATAAACAACTGTACCTATCTCACTTTAAACATTACAAATGTTTTCTCTGTAATCTTGTTCAGACTATAAACTTGGTTCCAAAAAACAAGTTCTTCCTGGAAGAGAAAGAGACACGTCTCACAACCCGGCTTTATTTAGTTAAATGACCATACAAGGATATCAGGCTAAGCCAAGAGGCTGCCCTGCACCAGCCCTGCCAGTGGTGCTCAGGGAGCCCAGTGGCCTCTGTTCCTCTCCCTAGGCCGGAGCCCTGCCCGGAGCCCTGCAGCTGGGCCAAGTCTGCGCCGCTCCACAGAGGACCTGAGGATACGGCAAAATACAAATTATGGACATCTGTGTGAGTGTGTGCTCTTCCACTGGGTGAGAGCTTTGTTCCTGGTGCGAAGGCTGTGAACTACATTTCCATGGATGGAGGAGGAGAGCCCAGGATCTGGCTAGGATTCTCAGGATGCGCCAAGGGAAAATCTAATGTTCACCTTGAATCCGGGCCATCCTCAGGGCCCGAGTCACAGTCATAAAGTCCAAATAATTGTTTGAAAAGTGAGGTCCTAAATCAGTTCCTGACATGATCAATAGCAACCCTATGTTCTGCTCATGTGGATCTTAGTCTCCACTTGGGTTTTCACTCAACAGATCATTTCCCTGTTTTCTGGTAAGAAATGTTTTCTAGAAATGAAACAAAAAGCCTTTCGGGTCCTTTTCCTCCTGAGCAGTAAGACAGCATTGCCATTCTTAGTAATAGTCTACCAGACAAAAGAAATGGGGGCAGAGCCATAGGATGGACGAGGAGACCTGGGCAGTGAAGGTCACAGGCAGGCCTTTTCCAGTGGCTCATGGCGGTGAACAGTCAGGTGAGCTGTGAGGAAAGAGAAGAGAGAGATTGGGAAATGAAGAAATAAGAAAAAGCAATGTGAAGGATTCTTTTCCTCTAGATAATTCTACTCAAATGTTGACATAGCAACAAGGGCATCCCAGGACTATGCTTCGAGCAGACTGGAGAGATGACTGGGTTTTTCTCACTGTCATAATGTCCAAATTCTCTTAGTCTCCTCTGACCTTATTATCCTACTTAGAGCTGCCATAGGCAGTGGTCAGTAGGCAGAAAGGGCTTAAGAAAGACTTACACTCAGACACCGTTGTGTGTGGTGTGCATCCCACCCACACACAACCCCATTAGGGCTTGTCCCAGGACTCAAACCCCAGTGGGGGAAGACTCAGAGAGGAGGAAACACATAACCAAGTCTTGGAGGATAATAGGAGTTTTCCAGGAACAAGGGACAAGAAGACAAAAAGACCTGTGAGCAGCTGCCTTCCCCTAACAAATCTTCTTCTCTCCTAGGTCACGCCCAAAGCAGAAGCATGAACGACATTTCTCACACTCCAAACACAGACCAGGTAGTAATGCCTCTGTACGTAGCTGCAGTGGAGGACCATGGCAGGGAGAAGCCTTTGGTTTTAGGGGCAGAGTCCTTTTGGGCAGAACTCACTCCTATGAAGGAGGGCAGTCCCCAGGAAGGATCCTGGTGGGAGCTTGGAGCTGCCTTGGTGACTCCATTCAGACCATCAGTGAGGCCCTCAGTCCTAGCTGTTGGCTCCAGTCAAGCCCTGGGAAGAGTGGGTGATGGAGAACATAATCAGATAAGGTGCCGGCTGTCCCTGAGTTTGGGATTTTGTTGAGAGAAAACCAGCACACGCAGCTACCTTTCTCCCATATCTCTCAAGTGCCTTTAACAGCAGCATAGTGATTGAGGCTGGCAGAGAGGAAAAAGTGAACCTCCCCGTGGAGAGAGCAGTGACGGCTAAGTAGTCGGATGCCCTGGAGTATGTCGTCTTCCTCAGATAGGACACTAGAACATGGGCCCTTGTCTCCCACTAGCACAGCTGAAATACCCTTGATGAGATCAGAATCCTTCAGACTCCAAGGCCTGCAGCCGAGAACCTGTGACTGCCTAGGAAGGCTGAGAAGGCTCCTAATTGTAACTCCTCCATACCTCAGGGGCCTAAGGCCCCGTAGTCCCCGGGTCTGTGCCTACAGGAGTAGGAAGAAAGGTGACCATGAAACCAAAACTCAAGGAGGGGTTTAAGGTAGGGGAATCAGAAACAAAAGAAGAAGCAAGATAAATCATATACAGGAACAAATTTGTTATGATGAATATGGTCATTATATATGGCTAAAATTACCAATAAAGTTTTTTTAAAACATAAACACAAAACATAAAGAAAGAAAAAGAAAGAAAGAAAGAAAGAAAGAAAGAAAGAAAGAAAGAAAGAAAGAAAGAAAGAAAGAAACCTGAAACTCAAAGAGAAGTCCTTGGAAGCTTGGGTGACCACCAATCCTTTAAGGAATCCCCAAGTTTGGTAGAAGGCAAAATAAAACCATCTCTTGTGTTAGTTTCAGGAAGTCCTTTGTGGCCAAAATATTATAAAAACAATCGCATTAACCAGCATTTAAGGCCCATGTACTGCATGTGCTGCTCTGTGCCGAGGTTGCCTGTGCACTCACAAAGGTGCTGTGTGTGTCCTTCCCATTCCACTGCTGAGAGATCACTGAGGCTTGAAGCAGTCCACTAACACACCCCACTTCATCCTGCTGCAAGGTGGCAGAACCTGGATTTCCCCCAGAGAGCCTGACTCTGGGACAGAACCCTATTTGGAACTAATTTAGGGATCTGTCAGTATTCTAAAGTATTATTTGGAGAAACACACCACTTTATTATGTACATAAACAGGAAAGCCATGATAACAAAGCATTATCTGATAGAGATATTTAATATCCTGTTTTAGTCAATGCATAAGTGGCAATAGCAATTGGCTGTCACCTTTACCAGGCAATGCTTCCTTGATATAAGGACTAGAATCCAGCCTGGTGCCAGGGTGTGTTTCTCCTGGCTGGCACCCAGATCTGCTTCTCAGCGTTTGTACATCTGCCTCGTACACCAGGATGCTCTTTCAATGCAAGCCCAGAAGCATCTGCCTTTCTTCACCATTGGTTTGTGTAGAGTTAAACTCCATGTCTACCCCAGTGAGTTCCTAGTGAGCACAGAGTGGGTCCACAGAGCACTGCTGTGTGTGCTGAGGAGCTGGGACAGTGTTCCCACAGGTCTGAGAGGTGGGCTCAGTGAAACCTTGGTTGGAAAAGCCCATATCAGGCTGTGGCAAATCAGGGTAGGAGAAACACCCCCATTTCTGGGATGCCACCACCCTGAGCTCCTAACCAAACATCAAACCTGCAAGGAAAGACCAAAGCCATCTTTTAATGCCTCTTCTGTCCTGGATTATAAGTGGGTTCACTGGGCCACTCCAAAGTGTTGCTTTCAAAGCCTTATTCTCTAGTGTGTACCGCCCACCTGTCCCTGGGCCCTCCCCATCCATTCAGAAACTGGCATGGGGAAGGTGGCTTCCCTGGCATACCAGCCCTCCATCCCAAAGATCTGCTTATTAATCTGTTGACTATGTCTGGGACAAAGGAATTATTTGAGTCTTGGACACTGGCTTTCCTGCATCTCTGCCCTTGGCTTAATCTTACTATATTATGATCCTTGAGGTTATTTCTGGTTGCCTGGGTAAGGAGTTTGGGGTTTCCTCACTGGATTTAAAACACTCCAACGGTGTGGCCCTTGCTCACATGCTATTTCTCATGTTTGCATGTGGCACAGTTCAGTGTAACACCCCCCACTCCAGCCAAGAGCCCAATCAAAAGGCAATCGTAGGCACAAAGAGGAACAACCAGTTGGAAGAGACACAAAGGACCTGTGTCTTCACTGAGTTGATGAGAAACAAGCATTCTTTGATCTTCCTGCGTTGGGCACATACTAGTCAGAGGGACCACAGGGAGGCTCCCTTGATTGTCAAAACGGGAAAGCCTCAGACAGTAGGAGATTTCCAACCAGTTCTCTGGAAGGGACCTGGGACCGTGGAAGTCTCCCATAGACTTAGAGACTGGGCCAGGGGTCCTGTAAGCCGGGAAGCTGGGGGCAAAGGGAAAAACAAACCTGTTCACCCTGACCTCAGGATAGGCCTCCTTCGTCTGCCACTACAGGTAGAGGCAGAGATTCTGGGAGCTGGGTTGTCAGTGCTAAGACTCCCGTCTGCTCAGGGAAAGGAGGCTGCAGGTGACGCCTGGGGCACGTCACACTCCAAGGTTCTTTCCTTCAACCCCTTAGCCCATATTTGAACACTTCTCACCCATTAAGGAATGCTCTAGGGGTCAGGTCATTGCGATTCTCTCCCATCTCCAATGGCTTAATAGGTCTCTGGGAGAGTATTGGGTTATTTCTTTCAGTTTCTTTTCTTCGTCAATACTGGGGATTGGACCCAGAGGGCTGACACTGAGTTACATCCCCAGCACTTTTTATCTTTTATTTTGAGGCAGTGTCTCATTAAGTGTCTATGTTGCCAAGGCTGAGCTTGAACCTGCCATCCTCCTGCCTCTCTCAAGAGCGCACGTGCCACCAGGCCCAGCCTCTTTCAGTCTCTCAAGGAGCATCTTTGGAAGTTAGGCCTCCAGTGCAGACCAAAGGGGCATGGGGGAGTAAGAGCATGCAGAGTATTCTGGGGTGTCTCCTTTCCCCCTCCCTAACAGAGGAAAAACAAGTTCATGAAGAAGATCCCCAAGGATTCAGAAGCCTCCAATGTGCTTGTGGGTGAGGTGGATTTTCTGGACCAGCCTTTCATTGCCTTTGTGCGTCTCATCCAGTCTGCCATGCTGGGAGGAGTAACCGAGGTGCCAGTTCCCACCAGGTAGGAGCCACTGAAACCCGAGGCCACACCTGTGGTGGGGAGCCAGCCTGATCCTAATGTGACATCAGCAAGCAGTGCTGTTAGGGACCTTTCTAAAGGAACAGAGGGACATCTTCTGACCAAGGATGCATTTTAGCTGGTTTATTTTAAATAATCATGAACAATAAAGAGGAACAAGCAGGAAGAGAAGCTGCTGGGTGAACTTGGGCAAAGAGCTTAGTGGAAACAAATGTCTTTCCAATGAATCTGAGATTCAAAGGAGGGAAACTGAGAAAGTTAACAATGCATACTGGTGAAGCCTGAAAAGTTCTTCTCTTCTGGTTTTCCTTCTCATTTTTATTCTCCTTGTTTGTGTTTGCAGATTTCTGTTCATACTGCTGGGACCTTCGGGAAGAGCAAAATCCTACAATGAAATTGGCCGTGCCATTGCAACTCTCATGGTGGATGATGTAAGTGGTGACAAGAAACACATGCGCCTGAAGGTCATGGCTTCTGCACCAGGGACTGCATTTGCATGCGCTGAGTTATCCCACAGGGACATTTGAGCACCTGCTGTGTCCTGGGCCCTGTGCAGGGTACTGAAGATACAGAGATTCAGGGAACAGTCACTGTCCTTTAGGAATACCTATCCAGCGAGAAGGACAGATCTGTAGTAAAAAAATTACCCATGTTAGCGGTTAAGGAGTTAAGGAGAGCTTCACAGAGGATGAGGCTTTACAGCTAAGGATGAGCAGGAGGCAGTAGGCCCAGCATGAGCTTGGGAGACAGGCATTCTAGACAAAGGGAGCAGAGCTTCCCTTTGACATGGTTCAAAGAAGCTGGATGCAAGTGAGGCTAGCTCAGTACAAGAGCTCCAAGGGCAGAAGGTGACTCCAGAGAGGTGAGCCAGAGACTACACAAAGCCTGTGGGCAGAGCCTAGCATTCACACTTTACCTCCAGAGTGATGGGGAGTTAGAGGACTGTAAACACAGGCATAACCCAGTCAAATCTGTGAGTCAGAAAACACGCTCTGGAGATGCCATGCACCCTGACCTCCTCCAAGTGGGGAGGGCAGGAAGTAACAGTGCATGTGAATTATCTGAGCCTCTCAAACTGGGCTCTGCAGAGGTTTTCTAATGTGCTTTCTCTGCAAGAAACTGAAGCAAGGAAGATCAGGTCACTCAAAGTCCTCCAAAAGGATTGTGGAGACCTGAGCTTTAGTTCCCAGGTCTTCCTTTGGTGCCAGCTCCTTCCTGTTGGGTCCTATCTTCCCTGTCAGGCCAGTTCTCATCCATCCCAGCTGGCAGCACACCAGCGGCTGGAGTGGCTCCTCTGAAACTAACTGTGCTGAGCTCCTGAGAGGTGAATACCTGGGCCATGAGAAACACAGCTGACCCGCTGTCCTCCCTTGTTTCCCGCCAGCTCTTCAGTGACGTGGCCTATAAAGCCCGAAATCGGGATGATCTGATTGCGGGAATTGATGAGTTCCTGGATGAGGTCATCGTGCTTCCTCCTGGAGAATGGGACCCAAATATTCGCATTGAACCACCCAAGAAGGTGCCCTCTGCTGACAAGAGGTGTGTGTGTGTGTGTGTGTGTGTGTGTGTGTGTGTGTGTGTGTGCCTGTGAGGGGTGGGGTGCTGAGGGGAAAGAGAGAGAGAGGCAGGAACAAAAAGGACTTCAATTTTATTGGTATCTTTTAATTTATATAAAATTTACATAAATTTATATTAAATTTATATATTATATAAATTTATATTAAATTTATATATTATATAAATTTATATTAAATTTATATAAATATGGTTAAATAGGACATGGGTAACAGTGACCATTTTCTGCATTTTCCCGTCTTTTAGGATATTTTGTGAATTTTTGGAGAGGTTAGGGGAGCACTGCAATCAGTCCTTGCGCGGCAGGACCCTTTCCTTCACCGGGAGCCCCACTCCTAACTCCTTCTCCTCCAGGAAATCCGTGTTCTCCCTGGCCGAGCTGGGACAGATGAACGGCGCGGCGGGAGGCGGCGGCGCCTCTGCAGGCGGAGGAGGCGGCGGCGGCGGAGCTGGCGGCGGCGGGGCTGGCGGGGCCGGGGGCGGGGACGACGCGGAGATGCCGGCCGCGCACGAAATTGGGGAGGAGCTCATCTGGACCGGAAGGTGCCCGCCGCAGCCCGACCGAGATCCCGCGGTGCTCCTGGCTTCTCTCCTTCCCAGCCCTGCTTCGGGGTCCTTCTCCTTCTGTGGGTCGCACCCACCCTGGTCCATGGGTCTGACCGCTGGGGCCTTTCCTTCCTTGCGCCCTCTTGGATCCTGGGAAGGGTTGCCTCATAAGAGGGGGCTGCGGGACCCAAATTTTTCTCTTTGCCTTTGATGCAAATATGCACTTCTTAGGTCTGCCAAAACACAATACGGAAAACGAGGTGGCACAAAACAGCCGAAAGTTGTTCTCACTCAGTTCTGGAGAACAAAAGTTCTAAATCGAGATGTCCACAGGGCCATGCTCCCTGGGAGGCTCTCGCCTCCTAGTTTCTGGCAATCAGCAGTTCTTGGCTTGCTGCAGCGGGGCACCAGTTTCCACCTGCGTCCTCACAGGGCCTCCTGCGTGCGTGTGTCTGCCTTTGTAAAGAGTCGTACTGGATTAGAGCCCACCCTAACAACTTCATTATAGTTTGATCATATCCACAAAGGCCCTATTTCCAAACAGTCACATGATATTCTGATGGAAAGATCCTTGTTCCCATCCACTCCTGATCAACTTGCCTTCCTCACCCCAGTTGCTGCAGGACCCTGTGAGTAGCCCTGTCCCTGCCCTGTCCCTGGGCTTGTAGTGAGAAAAATAGCTCCTGGGCCTGTCTCAAGCAGGTTCTTTGGCGGACTGTATCTGGATATCAAGAGGAAGCTACCCTGGTTCCTGAGTGACTTCTACGATGGCTTCCACATCCAGTCCATCTCTGCCATTCTGTTCATCTACCTCGGCTGTATCACCAATGCGATCACCTTTGGTGGGCTTCTGGGTGATGCCACCGACAATTATCAGGTGTGTGCGAGCTAGGGACTTAGGTGTGAATGCTGGAAAATCTGCTGCCACCTAGCGACGAGAAGCTTCATCCTGTAATCCCAACACCAAGCCTTAAGGCACCACCCAGGTCCAGGTCATCACTATATTTTGTTTGCTTGCTTGCGTTTTGAGAGAGAGTCTCACCATGTAGCTCAGGCTTGCTTGAACTCACTATGTCACTCAGACTGGCCTTGAATTTGAAGCGATCCTCCTGCCTCAGTTTCCTAAGCACTGGTATTACAGAAATACACCACCATACTCAGCTCAAAACCATCACTGTTTGTAACCCTTGATAATAACAGCAGTCATTACTAAGGACCAAATTTAAGGATGATATAAAAAGGTCATACTTTAAAGAAGAATCACCTGCTTTGTTATTTATTTGATACATTTCCCAGAAATACTTGAGTGAATTTAATCAGCACCATTATTCACATTGCTAATTGTGGCCTTCTCCCGTACTTGTTTTATTATTTATTTATTTTTGAGACACGGTCTTACTACGTAGTTCAGGCTGGCCTTTAACTCACTATGTAGTCCAGGCTGGCTTTGAGCTTCTAGCAATCCTCTTGTCTCAGTCTCCTAGTGCTGGGACCACAGGCATGTGCCACCATACCCGGCTTCCATGCTTTTTAAAAAACCAACTTTTATTAAGTTGGAGTTGAAACTTTTACAGAAAGAGAGTAAGTTACTATCATGACAACAACACAAGGAAAATTTTAACTCACCCGAGATGCCTGTCCATATCCTAGGTAGTCTTCTCCATCGGGTGCCTTTAGGGTAGAGCCGTTGGAAAGCTCAGAGCTCCAAGGAAAGGCCCATTATCTCAGATAATTTGAGATCAATGCCTATTGCCAGCTTGCTTCTCTCTCCTTAGCTTCATCTCGAGTGTCCAGCTGCCTCCTGGGCATGTCCATATGACTGCCCTGTGGACTCCCCCATTTCACAGGTGACATTGCCTCTATTCTGTTCTCTCCTGGTCTGCTACTCACAGGCCTCTCCCAGCATAGCAAATGACACTGCAGTTCACCCAGCTGTCCACAGCAAAAACTAAGCATCACCCTTAACTCAAAACCCAGCGTCCCCTGATGACTCTAACTCACCTCTCAGGCCTCATTCAGGATTCTCTTTCTCATATTTCTGCCCTGCTCACTCATTCCACAATCTGTTTCTCATCAATCTTGGTCATCTTTAAGTTCTTCAAAGACATGTACCTGTTTGCTCCAGACTTTGTACGCACTTTTCCCTCTTTGGGGTACTTTCTCTTCCTCCACTTTATTTCCCTGGCCAGTCCCTGCTTTCCACATGTGTATGTCTAGGGTGACCTTCCTGACTGTGCTTCTGTGCCACCCAACTTATCACACTCCCAGGTGGTGGCTCTCATTCAGGGGAAGTTTTGATCCCAGGTGACATCCAGAGATAGTTTTGGTTGTTATAATTAGGAGGGAAATGGCTACTGGCATCTAATGGGTAGAGATTGGGGTGCTGCTAAACATTGTACAATACATGGCACAGATCCCTAACAGAGAATTATCTAGCCTGAAACATTAGTAGTGCCAAGGTTGAGGAGCCCTACTGTGTGAAGGTTGGCTACTGGTCTGTATACCCCACCAGGCTGAAGATGTGCTATCTTGTTCACTGAAAGGTCTTCAGTGCCTGGTAGATGGCAGGCTCGAATAGATTGTGAATGACTGAATGATCAGACACCAAATATGTGCTTGTTGGAGGAATAATAGGTGAATGACCTGTCCTCTGGGAGTCGGATGGACACAGAACAAGCATATCTACTGTTTGCTCGGCCCTGAGCTACGAAAGGGAAGTGCCAAGTGATCTTTATCCAAACAAATAAAGTAGCGCTGGCCATGGTGGCAAGTTGCAGGGTAGACAGTGAAATTAGAGGAACAGAGGACACAGAACAAAGGATGGACGCTTGTCTGGGCCCTTGGAGAGCTGGCGAGGTTGCACCCTATGTGGGGAGACCCTTTCACCTCCCCTTACTGTGCCTCACGCTTCTTGCACCCCCAGGGAGTGATGGAGAGCTTCCTGGGCACTGCCATGGCCGGCTCCTTGTTCTGCCTCTTCTCGGGACAGCCTCTCATCATCCTCAGCAGCACCGGCCCCATCCTCATCTTCGAGAAGCTTCTGTTCGACTTCAGCAAGTAGGTGCCCCCTAGTGGCCCTCTGTGCTTGCTTTTGCATTTCAAACCACTGGGGCCAGGGCAGAGGAATAGGCCCAAAGGAGAGACAGGGGTAAGAGGTGTCAGTCCCATCCTTAGCTCTGAGAAGGGCTGTCAGTTACTCCTCCTGATTCCTGCTAGCTATTTGCTTTTGGTTATCTTAGCATAGCCGTTAGAGAGCAATTCAGGTAGGACAAGAGGAGAAAATTTACCTATTTAGCTCACGAGCAGTTATGATTTGAAAGCTAGGGTAGTATATTAGAAATCTATAGTGTTGGAGATCAGAATGCTGCACCCTGACCCAGGAAGTCCAGTCATCCCAGGGTCAGCTGCCTCAGCTACCACACAGAAGTTGGATCTAGCCCATCTCTAAATCCTCCAGCAGACTTACTTATCTTAAATCTTGTTTTTCACTCCCCTGTGAATGTCTCTTACCACCATGTGAGCACAGAGGTGTCTTCACACTTTCCTGCCACTCCCATTACATTCTTCCCACACCCATGAGCTCTTGCAGTCCCTAGAAGGGCGTCTGTGCCACGGAAGAGAGAAGTGAGCTGCTCAGGATGGGTGTAAGGAGCAGAGTAGAGGCAGGAGCCCCAGACTGGAGGCCCCCTGGTTCCCCTCTGCTTTCCAGAGGCAATGACCTGGACTACATGGAGTTCCGCCTCTGGATTGGCCTACACTCAGCCATCCAGTGCCTTATCCTGGTGGCCACAGATGCCAGCTTTATCATCAAGTATATCACCCGCTTCACTGAGGAGGGCTTCTCCACCCTCATCAGCTTTATCTTCATCTACGACGCCATTAAGAAGATGATCGGAGCCTTCAGGTACTACCCCATCAACACGGACTTCAAGCCCGACTCCATCACCACATACAAATGCGAGTGCGTCGCCCCTGATACAGGTGACCGGTAACCCCAGACACCCTGGGCCTCTACTCTCTCACTCCCCCTTGCCCCAGCTCTTCAAAATGCAGGAGAGTGAGCCTGTGCAGGAAGGGGCTGTTCAGCCAGGCAGTTACTGTGCCAAGGGAGCAGGGTTTTGAACTTAGTTTTTGGAAGGAAACCAAAGGAACAGTAACCTATTATAGTAAGAGACACAATAGGGTCTGAATCAGGAGAGTGTAGGGATAGCTCAGGAAGGAGTAAGGAATGGTTTGCCTGAGTGTAGGGTGGACAGCTGCCCACACCAGAGGTAGATGGTGCCTCAAGTTCCTCCAGCCCTAGCAGCCCTCCAACACACTACTGTCAAAGTGGTCACATATCTCATAGGGTGAGACCACAGCAAAGGGATGAATATCCCTACAAACTGAAACATGCCAGGGTAGAGGATGTGCCAGTCATTCTATATGAAAACAACTGGAGAATTTAGGGCTATTCCACCATTTCAAGGAGGGCATCTTTACCCTCTGTAACTACACGATGAAGGACGAGGGACAGGAGTTCCAGGGACCAGATGCTGGCTAGGTTTAGGGAAAAATTAACAAAGGAGGGGTCACCATCATGGATGGTATCAGCCCCTTTGGACTGATGCTAGATGTCCATATGCCAAGGGTGTTGTAGAAAGGATTCCCACACTGGGTGGGAGGAAGAATCTAAGTGGACTTCCTGTGGACTTTCTTTCTGGCTAGAAATCTGACATCCAGAAAGTTAAGGCTCCCCATATATCTGACCTGCTAGCCTTCTTCACTTGCGCCCCTAAGAGTCTTCAATAGGATACACCCACAAGGCCTAAGCTGCCATAGTGGAAGCCAGAGACCCCTTCACACTGCCTGACACACCAACTAGACTGGGCTCACAGAGAGCAACCTGAGGTCCAGAGACACCCAAGGTCACACCAAACCTGAGTTTCCCTAGTTGTAAAGGAGTGATATTAATGTTGGCCCTGCTTAAATCTATGCTCAGATTGGGTCAGAGGAAGTAAATAGGTATTAGATTGCTCAGTCCCTTAATATTACTATGGCTGAAAAACTGATCATCAGACAATCAAAAATATTTGCAACATAATTATCAGGGGTCCTACTTTAGGTTTTATGGAAAATAAAGTTGCTCTATCTGCAGGAAGTTTAGTTTTGCCAGTGCACTGATTTTGTAAAGAAGTCTAGACTTAATTTTTGTTTCTCAGTTTTTTCTGCCATTAATTTTGAGTTATCCTTACCCAGAACACTGAAAAGATCCTACCTTCAGGCTCTTATTATTCTTCCCCATAGCAGATGCTGCCTTGGTAGCCCAAGCCCCAGCTGGGACTCATGTTTTTCCTTGTGGTTTCCAGACTCTGAATTCATTGCATTGAGCACTGACTTTCCACAGGCACAGAAGCATATGTTCAGAAACATTCTAACTTCCAGGCCCATATGAGGAGCTTTAGCTACTCTGAGGATCATTTATCAGCTGGAAAATCCACAGCCAGGGGTGTCCTGGAAGAGGGGATGGAAGAGCATACACAGTCGGATAAAGGGGACATGATAGAGCCATTTGTTGTCAGGTACCTTCCCTCTGTGCTTACCCAGGTGCCTGATGTCACCTCATTCTTTTGGGTCACGCTGTTGTCCCAGGTCACGAAGTGTGATCCCCAGAGCAACATCACCAGGACCATCTGGAGGCTTGTCAGAAATGCAGATTCTGGGGCCTCACCCCAGAGGTACTGAATCAGCAACTCTGGATCCAAAATATAACAAGCTTTCCAGTGCTTCTGATGCACCCTCAAGTTTGAGAACCTCTGCCCTACTAAACTGTTAGTAATACTGTGCCATTTCTAGTTACCAGTCCATTGTATGAGACCTTTAGTTTCTTCACAGCATAAAGCAACTGCACAAGTTAGTTTTGATTATGAAACTGTGGAAAGTGAAGTCCTAGATATCTAGAAGACTAGGGAGTGGGAACTAGCTAGTTTCATCCTAGTCTGGGGACACCTACTTACTACATTCCTGGCTTTATACTGCAAAACCCAGTCTAGCTAGGGCATACTATCATTCTTTTGTCACTTTTCATCATAACATTTTGTTTGGGGGCTCTCTCTTTTTTTTTTTACTTACTTTTGTTTCCATTGTAACTGATTTGTATTCTGTTTATGAATGCTGCAAACACTGATTTGGCTGCTTTCAATCCCAAGTGAGTACCACTTTGTGAACACCAGAGCCTTTCTGGAATTTTCTGTGCTATATTTCTCCATCTTCATCTCAAGTGACTTAGCCCATCCCTGAGAAGCTCTCAGGTTGTCTGGCCCGAAGATGATGGATACTGGAAAATGTCTGGATTCCTGAGGTCAAGCATAGGCAGGAGGTCCTCTAGTGTTTGTGTGCGGAGCCCTGATTCAGCCTTCTTACCCAGCTTCTTGTCTGTGGCTTTAACTGTGCATGATGTTCTCTTGGTCAGTAATGTGAGGGAAAGTAACAGATGTCCCTGATTTCTAAGAAGTGAAGCTGTCTTCATAACAATACTAAGAATCCTTGGGTTTGTAGACTTCTAGGAACATTTTGTCCCGGTTTGAAACTGAGTTCTTTAGTAACCAGCCACAATGTACAGGATTGAGCAACATAGAGGAGACTTGTGACCATGTCCTGCCCTGTTGGTTTATTGGAGGTGTCAAGTGGAGTCTCAAGATTAAAATCTTCTCCCTGGGTTTCTAACCAAATGTGGATAGTGGCAGCAGCCAAATGGGGCTTGCAATGATTTTCAAGCTATTTGGCTGTACACTGGCCTGTGTACAGGCCACCCACCATCCCTGGGTCTGCTATAGAGAGACTACTTCCTCTGCCTTGCCTGGAGAACGGTGAGGAGGAGCTGGCTTTCGCTCCACCCTTAAGGTTGGCAGGAAGAAAGAAGACAGGCAGGGGTCTTACAGAAGACCTTTGTGAGAATGGCCACATCCCCTGGGGAGCTCTGCCTGTGAGTGATGTGCTGTCCCCAAAGGAAGCCGCAGGGAGACCAATGGAGAGTAGAAGTGGCAGTGGAAGAGTCCATGTGGAAAAGAGAGGATGCAGATTACGGTTCTTCTAATTGTCCTCATGGACTTGAAGGGACCCTTAGATGCACTTAAGCACATGGCCCAGTGGACAGCCATGCACGACAAGAGAGCAGCACCTTTGGGTTCCTGATGTTCCTCCAGGTCTCAGATGTTTTCCGATTAGAGAAGATACTATCATGGCAAATAAGTTAGGACAGGCCCAGCTGACCTTAAAAAGCACGTGTGCAGAGGGGCCGGAGTGAAGGGAAGTGTGGGTGCAGGGGAACAGGACAAGGAAGCCCAGTGTGCAGCGTGGGAGAGTCACGGCTCTGGGCCATGCTGCCGGGGTAGGTCGTAACTCTGAGTGTGAGCTGTGTGACCTTGGGCAATGGGCAAGTTAACTTCTCTGGGCCTCAGTTACCTCATCTGTAAAACAAGGAAACTTTGTAGAGATTTGGGAACTTAACAAATGAATACATATAAGTGTTTGGCATAAGTGCAGGGCATGGAATTAGTTCTTCAAAAAGTTTTTAAGTCTAACAGCACAGAAATGGGTCTAGTGGGCAGCAGGGATTCACAAGGCGCATCAGTCAAAGCTCTTCTCAGTACCAGTTTCTGTATGTTGATTTTGAAAGCCAGCTGTGCATCGTCAGGCCACAGCCATCCTAGACCCAGTGGACCCAACTGTTCTGGTTCAGCTGGGGCCTGGGCTCCCTCCCATCACCCTTCCCTCCCCAGGGTAAAGTGGGGAGGGAAAAGGGGCTGGGTATGAACTTATGTCACAGTGGAAGCCAGTCCTTGGCTCCAGGAACCAGAAAGATTCAGGAACGCAGGAAGGTCTGTGCCACTGCCCAGAAGCCACTGACCCTTCCCCATGTTGTGTGCTCATCCACAGTGAACACAACTGTCTTCAATGCCTCAGCCCCGCTGGCACCAAACACCAACAGTTCTCTGGTAAGTCCTTGCTCCTCAGACCATTAAAGTGCTTTTCCATGGTTTGTTTCAGATCGGGGTGGGTTGTATGTGAAAAAAAGAGTTGAGAGTTGGAGAAACTCCAACAGTTGAGAAACTGAGACCAAAGCACAACAGCCTAAACTCTCAGACGTTGACCCCATTTGCAGAGCTTTGCAAATGCATACCTAAGTATATACTGTAAACATCTCATTTAAGAACTATGCCTCATCCCATTAAATCCATATGCATAAATATGACACAGAAGGGAAGGAGAGGGAGGGGAGAATGATACACAAGGCTACACACATCCTTTCTTTTTCATCCTTCTTCCATGTCTTTCCCCCTCCATGAGGGCCCTCCCACTTCCCACCAGCAATGTCAGTTCCCGTGGTTAATCAGGGCCCCACCTCCAGTGACTCTGACCTGTCCTTTGCACTCCCCACTCCCCTTGATTTTCAGGTTTCATCTGCCTTTCCCAATAATGACAAGCGGTGGTCCATAGAAGCCTGAGTGGATTTAAGAGTAGGAAGTTCAAATTCAAGTGAAGAGTAGCACCTAGAAAGCCTGCAGACTGTTAGTGTTCCTGAGATTGCTTCATGAATTGCCTGATGGCTCTATCTCCGCATACCCCAGTTGGCAATTTGATCTAAAATTTCTCAAATATCAGATTTTGAGGGAAGAAGTATAAACTCATCAGTACCTGCTCCTCAAATGTGCAAGATACTATGTACACTGAGACCTAAAATGAAAAAAAAATCTGAGAAGCCAATGTGTGGTGTGTATATAATGGTAGCGAGTTTGTGTAGCATGCACGTGGGCCTTGGTTCTGTTGTCAGCATCGTGAAAAACAAACACATAAACTAAAACATTATCTTAGTTACTTTTCTCATTGGTAAGACAAAATACCCAATACCTGAAGTTAAAGGGGAAAGGTGTATTTAGTTCACAGTTTGTGGAAGTTTCAGTTCATTATCAGCTGGCTCCAAGGCAGAGTAGCACATGGCAGAGGGGCAACGGTTCATGGTGGTGGAAGACAGCAAAAGCAGCAATAGGGCAGAGACTGTCTCTTTCCGTCCCTTATATCACATTCAGTCTAATGAGATTAGAGCAATGCCCATCCAATCAAAGAATTAATCCAGCAATTATCCACCCTTAATCCCACTGTTGCACTACACATCAATCACATACTCTAGATTAAAAAGAAACTGTATGACTGCATGAGACTTTGGAGGAACATCTAGACACAAACCATAACAAATACCAGTGTGGCCTCTGTCCTCCAATTTGCTTTCCAACCTGAAAATCTATTAAATGACACAAGCAAAATGTGCCACACATCAAATACAGGCTGCACATGTACTTCTGATCTTGGTGTCAGGAGAGGAGCCGTGCTGGAGAAGCCAGGGGGAAAGCCTCATGGAGAGAGTGGAATGTACTTTAGTGTTCCAGGTTGAGAGGAGGTTGGCTCCGTAGAGAGGAGCATATTCCAAGCACAGGGAACATCACAGAGCAAGGGGAAAACACAAAAACTGTGCAGGGGGCAGTGGGTAGGCTAACACGGGTTGAGGGTACGAAATCGCATGGGGAAAACCACAGAGACAAACTGGAGAAGAGTCACTGAGGCCAGGTGAGTACAGGTGCATACAGTAGATGAAGCCCCAGGATACAAGACAGCGTGGGAGGGCTGCACCCCAAAGCTCCTCACTCCTATCAGCTCTTGCGTAACAAGCTGTGGTCAAAATCCGTGAATGAAGGCAGCAGCATTTATGATTCTCATGCTGCTGTAGGCTGGCCGGCTGTCCCGCTGGCCCCCCTCCTACAGGGCTGACTGAGCCAGCAAACCTGCTGAGGGGCCGGCCTCCTGCAGAACAGCTCCGAGGGCTCCTCAGTCCTTCGCACAGCATGATGGTCTCAGTTTCCAAGAGTGAGGGCAGAAGCTGCTAGGCCTCTTGAACTAACTCAAAGTCTCTTCCTCCTTAGTCTACGCAGTTTAAGGGCCAGTCCAGATTAAAAGGGGTGGAAAATTGATGTCTCCTTTGACAGGAATATCATCACTGTCACGCTGTGGACACTGTGTGGACGCAGGGAAGTACAGTCCCTTGAGGATCTTATTTGTAACGAGTTATTACACTTGTCTTAATCCAAACATTTATTATAACTAGTTTCAAGTATCTGTTTACTTCATTACATAGCTGTTCTAAACATTTCCACATTAAGAGTTTTTTTGCAACAAGGTCTCCCTCTGTAGTTCAGGCTGGCCTTGGGCTCACTTTGTAGTCCAGGCTGGTCTTGAACTTGCAATGATCCTCCTGCCTTAGTCTCCCCAGTGCTGGGATTACACTATACCCAGATTTTCCACATTAAGTTTAAAAAATATGTATTACTGTACAATCAGTGTGGAAATTCCTCAAAAAATTAGGATTGCAGGTCCCATTGGCCCAGTTATTCCTCTTCTGGCTATCTTCCCAGAAGAATTAAAAAACATTGTACCACAGCGATATATGCACATCTATGTTTATAGCATCACTATTTGTAATAGCTAAATCTTAGAAATAACTCAAATGCCCATCAACCAACAAATGGATAAAAAAGATGTAGTCTTTTAATACAATGGAGTATTACTCAGCTATAAAGAAGGAGAAACTTGAGACTTTTATAGGTAAATGGATGCAGCTTGAAACCACAATTATAAGTGAAATAAACCAGACTACATGTGTAAATAGCATATTGTTTCCCTAGTGTGAGAAGCTGAAAAAGTAAATAAAATTCAAGATGTACAATAAGTATTGTAAAATGGGAAGAAACCGTTCAAAAGGAAAGAGACACTGGGATGGGGGAAAGGAGAAAAAAAAAGGAAAAGCAAAAAATGTATTATATATAAATATTATATATAATGTATAAATTTATACAAAATAGTAAGATAGTTATATTAGTGATTTCTCTTAGTTCATTGAAAAGAAAGGTTTGTGCTAATGTTGGTTGGACAATTGAATGCCTATATCTTATACTCTGAGTAACTAATTTAAAGATAACCATATACAATGGATTAACCATTGTTACTCTCCTGTTATCTTGTTTTGAAACACTCTATAAGTGTTTAAAAAGTCTATTAAATTTTATTATAAATTACTCTCCTTTTCTTCATCTTATTATTCTTAGGAATATATGAACACAGTCATTCTTTAGAGATTGATTCCAGAATCCGCTAGGAATGCCAAAATTTGCAGATAATCAAGTCCTTTATATAAAGTGGTGTCTTACTTAAATATAACCTGTGCCCATCTTCCCATATAATTCAAATCATCTCTGGACTATTTATAATACATAATGCAATGTAAATAGTTATTGTATTATATAGTTCAGGGAATAGGAATAGGAGAAGGTCCATACATGCTCAGTCCAGAGACAATTTTTTAAAAATATTTTTGATCTGCAATGGGATCAATCCCATAGATACAAAGGATATGAATACAAAGTTCAAATCCTTTGTATTTATATATCTAATTTCCTTGTTTTGCGTGTCCTGGATTTTAAGATCTGGAACACTAAGGGAGGAAGTAACTGAAATGTCCCAAGAGGGACTAGTAAGGTTGTGATAGAGGGGAAGGAAAGGAGAGACTAAACCGTGAGACCCCAGGACAGAGGTGTCAGCAAGGCCACCCGAGGCTGTTCACCAAGCAGGAGCCTGGCCTGCCTGCCGAGGGACAGGGCTTCCCCTGCCCTCACACTACTCCTTGCTAGCAGAGCCTCGTGTCCTCTGGGTCAGCTCCTGATCGTCTCAGAGAACTGCCTGCTTGTCATTCCGTGAGCCAGCCTGTCCCTGGCATCCCACACTGGTGCTGAGGGTTCTACTGTGGAGGGCTGGGGCCCCTCAGAGCGTGGGCAGCAGTGTGGGCTGCCTGGACTATAGAGGGACGGACACAGCCGACCCACCAGGAAAGTCCTGACTCTTCGTCTCCTGTGCTTGCCCTCCCAGTACAACCCCCTTAACCTCACAGCACTGGACTGGTCTCTGCTGAGCAAGAAGGAGTGCCTGAGCTACGGAGGGCGCCTCCTCGGGAACTCCTGCCAGTTCATCCCAGACCTGGCGCTCATGTCCTTCATCCTTTTCTTTGGGACATACTCCATGACCTTGACTCTGAAGAAATTCAAGTTCAGCCGCTATTTCCCTACCAAGGTAAGTGCACTCTGCAGTTCTGAGGGACCTAAAGCCTGACAAGTAAGCAAGGCCCCTGCGGAGCCTCCTGAGAGGGACTGTGAGCTAACATAATGGACACCACATGGCGGGGCCCAGGCAGTTTAAGTTAGGGGCACAGACTTTGGAGTCATGGAGGACTGGGTCCTTTGTTTTCAAGCTCCCTTGACAACACTTGGTATTTTCAGGCTTTTATATTCAATTTTTCAGAGTAGTAGTAGTTTATTGTGTTTCTTAAATTTTTCATTGCCCTGATAACTAATAGAACTGAAAAGATTTTCATGTATTTACTGAATACATGGTCATTTGACTTTCTTCATGGAAGTATTTGTATAAATCTCCTACACATTTTCTTCTGGATTGTCTTTTTCTTTCTGATTTGTAAGAGTTTTTTATACATTGTTAAACCCTTTTATAATCATATGTGTTCTCAATATATTTCCTATTCTGTGACTTGCCATTTGCTTTTATAATGGGATCTTTTGATAAACAGAAACTCTTAGAGTGACTGTAACTTAATAGAGTAAAATTTTTCTCAAGGAAAATGCTGGACACAGGGCTAGGGATTTAGCTCAGTGGTGTAAGCGCCTGCCTGGCAAGCACAAGGTTGCAAGTTTGATCCCAGTACCAGAAAGAAAGAAAGAAAGAAAGAAAGAAAGAAAGAAAGAAAGAAAGAAAGAAAGAAAGAAAGAAAGAGAAAATACTGGACACAGATATCTTCTCTGTTATTTTTAGATGCTTCACTGGTTTTTGTTTTGTTTTGTTTTAATTTTTTTGTTGTTGTTGAGCTTTTTTGTTTGTTTTGTTGGTTGGCTTTTTGGAGATAGGGTCTCGCTATGCATTTTAGACTGGGCTGGACTCACTGTGTATCCCAGGCTGGCCTCAAACTCATGGCAATTCTCCTGGCTCAGCCCCCTGGGTGCTGGGATTATAGGCATGCACCACCATGTCCAGCTCGCTGTTTTTTTCTTCCATGTTAAATCTACATCCCAGAAAGACTGATTCTGATGTATATAGTATGAGATAGTGTTTCTTTGTGCTTTTATATAAATAGTCGATTGTTCCAGTATTTATGTAAGACCATTGATTCTCTGCTGTTTTGCAAGGCTTCCTCTGCTATATATCAAATGTTCCTATATGACACGGTCTGTCTGTGGGCTCTGCATTCTATTTCACTGGTTTATATGTAAACCAGTATCACAGTCTTTGTTTCTATAGCTTATAAGTATTTAAAAAATTTTATTCTTATTAGTACATGTGTGCAGTACAAAATAATTCCAGTCATTATTATGTGGGAAGTTGGCACAGGTACATAACTCATCCTAATTCTTCTGATGTCCCTCTCTCTCCCTCTTCATGCCTTCCATCTCTTAGAAAGCTTTGTATTGTACAGAGAAAACGTTTTCCTTGTCCTTATTCAATGGTATTATCTTAGACTTTACATGTCCACGTGAATTTTTTTGGAGTTCCAAAGATAACCTTTACTTTTTAAAAGTGAATGTGTGCATTACAGGAAACAAAACCACAAGGAGCAAAGAACAAAGTCATCTGCAGTCATAAGCAGCCTTCATACCCAGCATGCCATTTGGTGCGACTGAGATTGTACAGTGTGTGTCATGCTTTCCCACACACCATGAATATTCACCAATTCAAAATCCCAAAGCTAGAAGAGAGTTTTTAATACCCAAGAATGCACTTCATTAACTCAGTTTGGTAGAAAAAATTGTCATCCTGCCTTTCTTGGGAAGAAAAATTTCACTGAAGATGAAAATGACAACAGGCCTCTAGCTAGAAGTCTTTGCAGAGTTACAACTGAAATACTTCAGTCCCTTAATGCTCAATTTAAAATGAGATGTGAAGGGACAGAGTACACCAAACATGCTTTTGAGAGTTATCAGATGTCTGCTTTTTTTTTCCTGAGACAGAGTTTCATTCTATAGTTCAGGCTGCCCTTGAACTCATGATGTAGAACTGCTAGTATCTTTGCTAGTATCCTCATATCTAGATGATGGTTTGAGATTATAACTGTGGGCACACATGTGTGTGTGTTTGGTACAATACTTGCACTTATTGTATACAAAGTTCATACTCTGTTGCACAGCATCCCCAATAGTGAGTTTATAGGCATGCACACCTGGCGGGACTTCTACTCTTGAGATACTAGCAAGAAAGTATGTTCCCACAGAATTAATGCATCCCAATCACACAGCTAGGGGCTGGGGATTTAGCTCAGCAGTATAAGTACCTGCTTAACAAGCATGAGGTCCTGAATTTGATCTTGGTACCATAAAAATAAAAAAAAACATAGTCACACAGCTAGAAGATGCATGCACATCAGTGATTCTCACCAAAATGTAAATCTGAACACGCTGCACACATCTTTCCTCTATGCTTTCTTCTGCCCCTCTGCTCCAATCTCATGATAAGTCTGGATACACACTCCCTTGTAACAATTACAAGATGCATCTTTTCTATCAACCGTAACAAAAAATATTTAATCTACCTCTAATTTTTTGTCATACATTGTTATCTCAGGGACATCCATAAGGCTGAGACGCTGTGCAGTAGAGTATGAACTTTGTATACTGTAAGTCCAAGTACGGCACCAAAAATGCACATATATGTGCCTACGGTTATAATCTCAAGCCACTGCCTAGATATGAAGATACCAGCAAAGAGCTTTTGCGCACGCTGACCCTCTCTCCTTTTCCCTCCTCACACTTCAGTGACTAAATGACTACAGTGACCACATCTAGCTCCGAGAGGTGCTAGATGGTCACTTTCAGAAGACAGTTCTCCCTAAAAACTAACAAAATGACATTTATATAGGTATATTTTGCAGCCAAGTATGGTGGCACATGCCTGTAATCCCAGAACTCTGGAGAGTAAGGCAGGAGGATCATTCTCCATAAGTTAGAGGTCAGTCTGGGCTACATAGGGAGTCCAAGGACAGTCTGAACTACATAATGAGACCCTGTCTCAAAAAACTTAAACCTAATTTGGGTTTTAAGTTTTATCTTAACCTAATTTGGGTTCTAAGTTTTATCTTTTAATACCTTTCAATATTAACAAAATATACATAGAGAGCAATAGCTAGACAATCTGAACTTATTTAACAGGCAAAGAATACTTCCTTCTCTGCAAACCTCCCCTTCCCCACCCCATGAACTGTCAGCATATGCTCCACGATAGGGGCTATGGTTTCCTCTGAGTTCAAGTCTCGCCCCCACCACACCTGCTGGTGTGCACTATCCCAGAAAATGGCCATATGGATCACAACTCCCAGGATGACTACTCCATGCCAGGTACTTCAAATGCACTGTGGTTCCCTTGCTCTTGATGTGGGTACCATCATCATCTCCACCTCAGAGGAGCAAAGTGAGGCTAAGAAAGATACCATGTACCCCAAGGTCACACAGTTGCAAGGACCTGAGTGTAGGTGCTGGCTTCAACACAGCCTTTAACTATTCTCTTTGCTGCCAGAGGACTGGGGGAATATGGAATGAGTAGATATTTTGCTCACTTGCTCCTCTCCGTTCTGCAGGTCCGGGCCCTGGTCGCTGACTTTTCCATCATTTTCTCCATCCTGATGTTCTGTGGAATCGATGCCTGTTTTGGCCTGGAAACACCCAAGTTGCATGTACCCAGTGTTATCAAGGTTTGCCCCTTGCCCCTCCTCAGGACACTCGCCTGCCTGTGCACTAGTCCTAGCACTTGGTCCTCTGTGCTCCTCGAACTTTCTTCTCTCAACCTAAACCCCGTTGATTCTGTGTGTGCACCATCCCTTCCTCCCTGCGTAATTTTCCAGGCGCTTCTATTGAGAGGGGGTAGGGACATAATCACAGTGAAATCCTGCAAGGATTTCAAGGAGGAAGATGCCAGCTGAAGCCGAAGCCAGCTGGTGTTTCCAGTGCTCTAACCTTCTTCTGGGTGCTTCCAGTGCAGTCTACAAGTGGGATCAGCTGGGATCTGTTGAAAATGATCCCTTGGAGAAGTGATTCTCGGGGCTGGGGATTTAGCAGCATAAGCACTTGCCTTGCAAGCAGGCGGTCGTGAGTTCGATCCCTGGTACCGATAAAAAAAAAAAGTGATTCTCAAAGCATGGCCTCTGGACTAACGTCACATGGTCACTTGGGAACTTATTAGAAATGCAAATTCTCAATCCCTTACACCTATAAAATCTGAAAACAGGTGGGGGCAGCAATTTGCATTTTCACAAGTCTTGTGGGTGATTCTGGGCATACTGGAAGCTGAGACCCACTGCTTCAGAAAGTACCCATTAGTCTAAGTTGGTGCCATTTACCTGTGGCTGAGCTCAAGCTCAGTTCGCTCGCAGATGCACCAACCATGGAACCAGGGTCAAGAGTCCAGGTACTAATCTAGAACCACCCTCCTTGCTTTTGAGGTCTTGACTTTCAAGGTAATATTTCAGGGTCTGCTCCAGTAGTTTAAACACATAAAATTGTTTGCCTGAGAAGAACCTGTTTCTCTTAAATACAACAAAAGAAAATCATCAGCTCCTGTACAAATAACCTCTTATTCTCAAAGCGCACGTGTGAGTTGATTTTTTATTTTATTTTATAAATCTAGAATGCTTCTCAGACAGGGGACTCAGGAGAGGCGGGGCGTGTCGGCCCTTGGGGGTCCCATTCAAATGCTTTATTCTTGCCCAGTAGCGCCTCACTTCTGCTCTTTGTTGTTTTGTAATTAGTGACTGCGTGCTTCCTCCCAGCTGTCCTCTCTGATTGCCTTCCCATGTCCCAACAGACCCCAGGGAGCTGCAGCAAATTACCTCCTTAATTCTTCAGATCCCTGCTGTGTTCACACTCTTTTCCCTTGCCTGCTGCTTCTGTTCTGTCACCTAAAGTTGCAGGTGCCTAATGTCATATCTGTAAGGGAACATACTGTACTTAGAAGTACCTCCGGGTGAGGGAAAGGTAGCAACATGGGATAGTGGCCAGCGGACAAGGGCCAGAACTAGGGAGAAAGGAAAGGACCCTCTTCATTTGCTCTGCTCAGCCCACACGGCCTGACCGAGGCTGGTTCGTGGCCCCCTTTGGGAAGAACCCGTGGTGGGTGTACCTGGCAAGCATCCTGCCCGCGCTGCTGGTGACCATCCTGATCTTCATGGACCAGCAGATCACAGCCGTCATTGTCAACAGGAAAGAGAACAAACTCAAGGTGAGGTGGTGTTGGGCGCAAAGTCAGGAGGATTAAGGCGGGAGATGTTCTTTCAGTACCCTGAGCAGAAGACAAGTTCCCACTTTGTGTGCTGGGGGATGGTGTGACTTGATGTGGCTGAGACCAGTTGGGCCCCTGGGCACAGCCCTCTTGCCTCTCAGAGTAACCCTCCAGCTCTGTGCCTACTGAAAGTCAACTTGGGGGTCTAAGCAGATGCTGACAGAGAGATAAGCCTGGAATTATGATGCCAGGAAAGCTTCTTAGACCCCCTTGTCTCTGAAGCCCCCTGCTTCTCGATCTGAGAAGACTCAGGCTGCCCCCTCCCTGACCTCACTTTAGGCTACATGTGATGCCTGTCCCAGCTCAGGCTCCTCTTTCAGGAATTGCAGAGGCACTGTGGCCACTGGGCAAGAGCCCTTCTCCCCAAATTTGGGGCCTTTCATCTCCTCCTTTACCTGAACACTCCTCTCCTCTACCTGTGTCCCTTACCCAGCTGACCTTTTCAGATAATGTGGCAATAAGCCACCTCTGGGGATGGTGCGATCTGAACACCTCTGAAGTCCTCACAGGGAACAGTTCAGGATGACAGCGCCCTCACAGAGTAGCTCCCGAAGGGGGTTGGACTATGTTCCACAAAAGGGTTGCTTTACAGAAGAACAGACTCCCAGAAGCTTCTCTGTCCCTCTGCCCCTGCAGAAGGCCGCTGGCTACCACCTGGACCTGTTCTGGGTGGGCATCCTCATGGCCCTGTGCTCCTTCATGGGGCTCCCCTGGTACGTGGCTGCCACAGTCATCTCCATCGCCCACATTGACAGCCTCAAGATGGAGACGGAGACCAGTGCCCCTGGAGAGCAGCCCCAGTTCCTGGGGGTCAGGTACGAAGGGTCAGGCTCTAGATCACCTGAGTGGGAGAGGGGAAGTCTGCTTTTCATACCTGCAAAGAATGTTGGTAGAAAAGGCCCCTACTGTGACATCCCAGGAACCACAGGGCCAGGACATCACAACTGGAAATAAGGAGAGAGGAAAATTCATTTCTAAGTGGTACAGTTTTCTTTGTAATCTATGAGCAGCGCTCTGTCTCTGTCTCCGTCTCCATCTCTCTCTCTCTCTCTCTCTCTCTCTCTCTCTCTCTCTCTCTCTCTCTCTCTCTCTCTCATAAACACACATGCACACCCATGAGCCCCAGAAGCTCTCACTACCTAGGCAGTGTCCTGCCTTTGGACTCTCAAGACTCTCAGGGTGGGTTCAGGTCCTGCTTTATCTCCATTCCTCCTGAAAGACTTCCTGGGCCCACCGCTGCTGTCTGAACTATGGCCGTGGCCTGTAACTTCTGTTCTTCTCATTCCATGTCAGGCTCCCAGGTTCTTTCAGGCAGGGAAGCACGCCCTTCTTAGGGTTCCTTGGTCCACACCAGACCAAGGCATCTTCCTAAAGAACTGCCCTGTGGGCTTCGCCCCCACTGCCTTGGCACAAGTGGGTGCTGTGCAGCCCTGAGGGTGGCTTCTCTGCCTAACTACAAGGCCTGGGACCGGGTAGTCCCTCGCGCTCCTGGGTCTAAGCCACCTGTGTTGTTGCACAGGGACCTGGCACTCAGGGAAACCTGCCTACCTAACTACTGTGCCCTGTTCTGCCAGCAGTGGGGGATCTTTTCACCAGAGGGCAGGGTAACAGGTATATAGATCCATGTGATCTCTGTCCTACTTGGCTCAAGATCTCCAGGCCTTTGCCTGATGCCACATAATGAGTAGGTGGCAGAGCTAAGATTCAACCCCAGCCCATCCAGCTTGAGCAGCCCCATCATTAGACACTACTCTAAACAACCTTCCCGATGCCCCTGCCACATGTCCTGCCCTCTGTCAGAGGCACCTGTCTTCCCTGGGTGGGTCAGCTGGGCCTCAGGCTGATACAGAAGCCCTTTGAAGCCATGGTCTTGGACATAACCTTCAGGGCCCACAGAGGGGCAGGAGGCTGAGAATGATCACTGAATGTCTCAGAGGTCACCCCTGAAAATGTGCTCTTCTCTGCCAGGGAACAGAGAGTGACTGGCATCATTGTCTTCATCCTGACGGGAACCTCAGTCTTTCTGGCTCCCATCTTGAAGGTGAGACTCTGCACCCCACCAGGCTTCAACACCTGAGGAAGCACAGAGCTGAGGCCTTGGGGGTGGGAGGTCTACTGGCCTGTGGACCCCTAAATGACAAGACTTTATCATGCCATTCTACTGTGCCACTCCAATGCCATCATCGCTGTCTTGTATACGATTGCCAATCCTATCCACTGTCTCTCACGAGCCCAGGGTGCACTGTTGCCTTCCTGGAGAATTCTCCCCAGCCAGTTCTGCCAACTTCTGACCCTACGTAGCTCAGGAACTTCCCAAGCCAGGAGTGTCCATGCTGCTGTGATTTGAAGCATGCTCAAGGCCTTCTTGCTCATCCGTTTTCTGGTTTAAGCCTTGCGGGGTAGGGTTGGGGATGCTGAACTGTTCTCTGGCCTCTGCTCTGCTCCTCTATCTGGCATGTCTTGGCATGTAAGTGACTTGTTCCCACACAGTTTGAAGCTTCTCTTGCTTATGTCCCACCAGGCCAGCAGGAAGACACTAACACAACAGTGGTGCTGCATTAGAGGCGGGCAGGCGTCTGCTACTACCGTAGGAGGAGGTGTTTCACGGTCACTGCAACCAGTCTCTTACCAATGGTCCTTACCCCTGACGGGTACCCACATAAGACTTCCCTTTCTTGAATTATTTGTAGTTGCTCCAAACATTTGCAGCTTTTTTCCCCTCCCTTGAATGTCTCAAAACAACTCATTAGGGGGCGACCTGGTAAAAAGCAAAGGCCAAGAATCGTGGTTCTAATTAACTCACTTATAAAAAATGTTTCTGGCATGAGAATTAATGCTGGGCACACCACAGTAGTAGATTTGAGTTGGGTAGTTTTAACAAAATATTTAGGCAGGTGGCTATGTTGTTTATTTAAAATGTGTTTTAGGGATTGAGGGTATAGCTCAGTAATATAGTACTTATTTAGCAGGGGTGAGGCCCTGGGTTCAAACCACAACAGTGGAAAAAAAAAACAGGTGTACTTTATTTTATTAAAGTATATTTTAAACGGCCAGAAAATCTTTGTGGAAAGGGCTCTGAAGAACCACTGTGAATGTCAGTCCTGATACTGTTTGATAAGCATTTGTGTCAAAAGCTTCCTTTTGTGGGGCTGGGATTTAGCTCAGTGGCATAAGCACCTGCCTTACAAGCAGGCGGTCGTGAGTTTGATCCCCGGTACCGATACAAAGTTAAAAAAAAAAACAAAAAACTCCCTTTTGAGAACAGCATACTTTAGGGGCCAAAAATTCCCAGAAACATTTTGCAGATAGCCGTTCCCATGTGCCTGTGATATGAACTCAGAGCCTGGGCAGGCCAGCCGCCCCGCTGTTGTTCAGCAGTTCAGCCATCTCAACCAGCCTTTATGTGTATTTGAACAGAACGCAAAGCAGGCAGAAAATTCCACGACAGTTTCCTTTCTTGTTTCACTCATAACGTGATCAGTTCTTTTATGGACATATTACATTCTGTGTATAGATTTTCACATCTGATTTTGATAAATTTTGATAAATTTTTGTCCTTGCACTAATACTGTCTGTCTTCTGAATGTAGGTAACATGGATACAACAGTCTGATTAAAATAATTCAAGTGAAGGGTAAGGCTGTAACTCAGAGGCAGAGTACTTGCTTAGCGTACACAAGGCCCTGGCTTTGATCTCTACTGCTGAAAGGGAAAGGAAAGAAGCAGAGTTCTACACATAAGATTTGACATTGCCAAAGCTTTTGGTGGTCATGACCTTTCAGTGATGTACAGTCACATTGCTTACTCTTGGGTGGCATGTAATATTTCCACATTTTGAGTAACAGTGGAAATTCCCATCTACTGCATTGGTAGCCCAAATGGAACTCATTCAAACTGTGCAGTGTATCCCTGTATTAATTGATGTATTTTATAAAATAGGCTGTATACATAAAGCGGCAGATGCACAGAATTTTCAATTATTGTTCTGGTGGTCATGGAAATGTTTTTGGGGGTCTATGTAGTTCCAAATGCTTTTGTATTATCTTTGCATCCAACACAACAGGATTTGTAAACTTTGCTACATGTGTTCATTCACAATGAGTGGGAAAAAAGCTGTAATATGCTTTATTTTGCCAATAGTCTATTTGATAAATATACTTATCTAGATTTTTTATTGATCATAATATTTAAGATTTGATTATATCAAGGTCCATACCTTTTATAAAATAGACCTCTAACAATAGACCTTTTATAAAAATACACATTCAAAACTGTTAAGTGATTAAAGCATCATCACTAGCTGACACACCAGTATTAAATACTAGACTAAATCTATGCTAAGGAAAAGAAATTTGGTACAGCCAGTTCAAGTAAAATATAACTTAATATGTGAGATCCTAGACTTAATCTTATAATTTATTTTCTTTCTTTCTTGTGTGTGTGTGTGTGTGTTATCTTTTTGAGACAGGGTCTTACTGTGCAGTTCAGCCTGGCCTTGACCTAACTTTGTAGCCCAGGCTGGTCTTGAACTTGCAATGATCCTCCTACCTCAAAGGAAGAAATGAGTGCTGGGATTATAGGAGTGCACCACCATGCCCGGCTTTATAATTTATTTTCAATCAAGATAATTTTCCCATAAATATTGTTTAATTTTTTGCAACTGTAAGTTTGCATGGGCGAGTATTAGACGTGCAGAGTGCTTAACCTGAGGGATAGGAGGTGTATCTCGTGTTAGACTATTTCCCTAGCATGTATCAAGAATCAATGTTTGATCCCCAGCATGTCCAAAAAGAAAGAGGAAAAGAGGTAGAGAGAGAGTTAAGAAAGAAGGAGAAGAGGGAGGAGTTACACAGCACTGTTGTTTATTCAAGACCACACTTCAGTTAAAATCGTATTTACCAACAGAGGAGATAATCACAAATTTTGGAACAGGTAACTTGCATTCTACCTGCTGGCATCACCATTTTTATTGATGTTTCTATATCACCTATTAAATATACTTTTGTTTGTGTCAGTTCTTCCAATAGAGTTCTGTTTCAGGGTATCTCAGTCTTTTTATGGCATCAAGGCCTTCATTGAGCTACATCCCTAACCCTTTATTTTGTATTTTGAGATAAGGTCTCATAGTCACTAAGTTGCCCAGGATGGATAGATTTTAACTTTTCAGTCCTCCTGCCTCTGCATCCCAGAGTACTGGAATTACAGGTGTGAGCCACCATGCCCAGCTATGTCTCAAACTTTAATGTGTATAAAAATCAACTGGAGATCTTATTAAGCAGATGCTAATTCTAATTCAATAAGTTTTGGTGGGGGGCCAAATTTTGCAGTTTTAACGACCTCACAGGTGATGCTAAAGATCTTATTCCACTATACTTTGAGTATCAAATATCCCCTGTCCATAAGAATTAGTGAATGATCGTATTGATTTCACATTGTAATCAGTGATAACCTTCAGACTTTCCAGCACCAATTTGCAAATATTTGGTTATCTTATCAAACAAAGGTACAGAGGGATGCGGTTGCCACAGAGCTGATGAGCAGCATACGTGACTTACACACTCAATCTTGTAGATTTTCCACTCTCTTAAGGCTGTGAAGTTTTGTTTTGTTTTTTATTCGCACTTCATACAGTTCTTTGGGGCTGCCTCTGAGGAGCACCTGGCAGTGTCCCTACCCAGATCCCCTGTGAATCTCAGGGTCTCAGCCTCAAACTGCATGCGAAGGCTGTGATCATTTTTGACAGCTTTAACTCATGATATCAAAGCTGACATTGAAGATAATGTTTTGCCACTTTTTGTGCTTCTAATTGAAAAGAGCCTATTCTTGGAGATTCAAGGAAGATTTGTGCTGATTAATCTGAAATTCCAGGTCACTGCCTCATCACTGGGATGAGTGTGATTTCATAGCCTTTTGGGGTTTGCTGGAAGAGCTGCAAATGACAAGATGAGAGACAATTTTGTTTGCTTCCTAATGGAATGACTTAATGCTCAGTGGCTGGCAATTATAAATCATCTAACACTTCATCCAGCTGTCATATCTGATGTGGTTTTGTACTTATTAGCGCAAAAGGGAAATTTTAAATGACTTTAAATTTGTATTGCTCCGAGTTATAGCTACATTTTTTACTTAAGATTTAATTTCTCTCTCAATTGCTCCCACACTTTGAGATTTATTAGGACAGTGTTACTCACTGAAGTTTTTACCTCAGTTCATAATTAGGGAAAAATCTTATAAGGCATGTTCTAACGGACTGATAAAGGTCATATAGTTTCCTATAAAACTTTTACTTTAAAATATTGTACTGTAATTCATGGTAGAACACTTACCTAGTATGTTCAAGGATCCGGTTTCAATCCTCAGCACTCCCTAAATCAATAAATGAAGTTTTAGTTTATATGTCTTGGAGTGGGCTGGGAATATAGCTCAGCAGCATAAATGCTTGCCTGGCAAGTACAAGCTCCCAAGTTTGATTCCCAGTACCAAAAAAAAACTCCAAAAAATGTTTCGTGGATTGAAATTTACAGTGCACACGCCCAAATAATGCTTTGTGTTTGAAAATGAATGCAGTCTAACCTATCTTAGAAGAGAAGCTATTTACTTGGTTGGACTACTGACACTCATAAATGCCACCTACAAGTTGGGCAACCACATTGGCACTGTTCTTTATGGTTACCAATGTTCTTCCAGAGCCAGGCAGCCCCTGGGCATGGCAGTCAGTATCAGGTAACTGGCAAGGAAGAGAGAAAAAAAGGAGCAGAAAAACAACTTAGATAAAGGAGAAATGCCTCTGAAGGCTTTTAAGACTTGGAGTGATCATCGGAGGACAGCGTGAATGATACCCAATTTTTTAAAAAGCAAACTAACTGCTGGTGTGCATGTTTGGAAGGAAGGCTTGTTGATGATTATTGATAGTTTATATATTTCTAGTTTTACTTCTTTGTTATTTGATGTACGTGATGGATGATTTTAAGTGTCCTGGGTATTCCCTGCTCTGTAGGTCAGCTCACTAAAAGCCCCCAGCTCGCTACAGCTTTGGGGGCCTTGGGCTGAACCTGGAGGTGGGAAGGGGCTGGCAGGAATAAGTACAGCGCAGTCCATGGAGCTTTCCTGTCTTCCAAAAGGAAGCTCTTCAGCCAGATCGTGTGGCTCCCACAGGCCTGAGAGAGGGCCCAAGCTGGGAGCAGCTGCGTGAGCGCTAGCTCAGCTGTCCACCCCGCTGGAGGAGGGAGCAGTGCACTTGAGTGGTCCTCATTTCCCACCTTACCACTCACTGGCTCCAGAGCTGCTCTCAGGCCTCAGTCCCTCCCAATGTCCAGCTCCCCAGCTGCCTCTGTGGTTGACAAACACCTTTATACAGATCAGAGTGGGCAAGGTCCCTGCCCCTGGCAGAGACCCAATCCAGAACTCTGCTTCCATTTCAGTACATCCCCATGCCGGTTCTGTATGGAGTCTTCCTCTACATGGGTGTGGCCTCCCTGAATGGCATCCAGGTGAGGCTATCCCCTCCCCGGCTGCTGTGACCCTCAGTTGGCCCTCACATGTAGTTCTAACCAAGACCCTAAATGCTTGCTTTCCCAATTCAATAAATGAACCTTAATAATGATAGTATCACCATTTACTATGTGCCAGGCAAAGTAACAATCCTAGGCATCTTACAGGTGTTTAATCTCTATAGTTAGGTCCCCATTTTACCAGTGGGGAAGCTGAGGCTCAGAACTGAAAGCCCAAATCAAGCTAACTTCAAAGGGCATTTTGTCATACTTCCTAAGGCAACTCTGCAGAGGAAGTATTGTATTCTATACCCATCACAAAAATCCCAGAATTTCTTGGATAGTTTGTGTTCAGTTGCATTTGCCTTGAGTATGGACTATGTTCATTTTGAGACCATCTCCAAGGCCTCTCCACCTGGGGCTAAGGACCCTTTCTCCCGCATTATATGTCCACCTTGCTCGCTAGCTCCCTCTCCCTCTCCCTCCCCTCCCTCCTCTCCCCTTCCCCTTCCCTCCCCCTTCTCCTCCCCCTTCCCCTTCCCCTCCTCCTTTCCCTCCCCCTTCTTTTCTGCCTCCCCACACTGAGACCCTACCAAGGCACTCCTTCTAGTCCCAGGCCCCAGCAGGCCTGCCACCTCCTGGACCTGGCTGCCTAGCTGAAACCCACACTCTCCTCGCCAGTTCTGGGAGCGCTGCAAGCTCTTCCTGATGCCCGCCAAGCACCAGCCAGACCATGCCTTCCTGCGCCATGTGCCCCTGCGCCGCATCCACCTCTTCACCCTCGTGCAGATCCTCTGCCTGGCTGTCCTCTGGATCCTCAAGTCCACTGTGGCCGCCATCATTTTCCCAGTCATGGTAAGGCGGGGATGGGCCTCCCCTCCTGTTCAGCAGGGTGGTGTGGACAGGAGTCTTCTGGGAGGCCCAGTGGGCTAGCTTCATCTTCCACCCCCTTTGCCTTCTCGCCACTGATGACCTGGCTCTGTCTAATTGAAGAAACAGACACAGGGCAGGTTCTGAGGTATGGCCAGATGCTATGCAGTGGGAGTGAGCAGGAGGGCAAGGTAAAGAATTTCTGGGGAGCACATAGACTCTGCATGCAGGACCCAAATGCTGAGCTCAGGGCAAAACATCCAAACTGCTGGGCTGGGGCTGGGGATGTGAAGATGGGGCCAGCGACTCCCTAATACCAAAACTCACACAGACCTCAGAAGGAGATGCATATGAAATGTAATTCTTCTCACCATGCAGAATAGCTGAACTGGAAAAGATAAAGGGGATAGGGGTTAGGACCCCAGATCAAGAACCTCAAAAACTAATGACAATATGAAATTTGAGTTGGGGAAAGGTATAGGAGTGCTTACAATTATTGTGGAACCTTGAAATTTCGTAATTTTAAAAGGGTATAGTACCAAAATAAATAAATAGGTATAAAAAAGCCAAAACTGTGCTGCATTTGACTCTAAGTAATCCATGGGAAGGAAGTAGGCCCAGTCCATGCTAGAGGACCAGAGCATGGGGCCTAATGCTCCCGGATCACCTGCAGGCCTGGATGAGGACCACAGTAAGGTCCTCACATATGTGCTTTGGAGGTCCCTAATCAGCTGCTCTTGACCTAGCTGCTTGTTAGAATCAACACAGATCAGTTAAATCAGAATCTTTTGGGAAAGCACAGGCATTGGTATTTTAGTAAGTCTACAGGTAAATGTAAATATGCAGCCAGGGCTGAGAATCAGCACTCCATAGAAAGGGAAGTGGGTCCCCTCCAGTAGGGTCCTTATGGGCTTTAGAGAGGAGGAAGGGAAGGCTAATAATAGCTACCTTTTAGCGTTTACTGAGTGCTGTTCCACTTGGTCTACACCAGCTCCCAAAGTACTGATACTAACTACGTCTTGCAGATGAGAAGGATGAAGCTCAGAAAGATGAGTGAGTAACCAGGTTACAACCAGGACAGAGCAGAGCATTATCTGCACCTCCCCATTTATTTTTTAAAAAATAATGTTTACAGGTGGAGGCAAGAGGGTCTTGCAAATTTGAAGCCATGATGAACTACATAGCCAAAAAGAAAAAAATTGTTCTGAGAACCTGAGATGGGAGTGGGGGCTTCAGAATGGTGCCAAAGACACTGATCACAAGAGGACCTGCCATAGGGAAAAAAAATTATGCTGAGGAGAAAAAACCTTTCTAACCCACAATTTTCCCTGGACTCCCACAAAACCTTAGCTTGCTGTGTCTTCCCATCACAGATCCTGGGCCTCATCCTGGTTCGAAGGCTTCTGGACTTCATCTTCTCCCAGCATGATCTGGCTTGGATTGACAACATCCTCCCAGAGAAGGAGAAAAAGGAGGCAGATAAAAAGAAGAAAAGGAAAGGGGCCCATGAGGACAGTGATGAGGAGGTGGGGGAAGAAGTGAGGCTTGGACACAAGGGGAGATCAGGGGAGATTTCCTCCTCTTCCACCTGGGCAGGGAGACATGGCTTCTCAGGGGCCCCACAGCAACATGTGACTCCCGTCCAGGGTGGGCTGGGGCTTCTGCTGCTCTTGGTCTGAGCTGCTGAGCTCATCTGCTTCTGGGACTATCTTCAGGGTGGGCTTCCCTATCCAGGAATCAGTTGATTGGCCAAACCCACACTCTCATTCATATGAGTTCTTGGAGCCATTTTCAACAGTAGCACAGGTCAGTGAAGAAGTAGGACGGGAGATGGATCCAACATGGAAAGCAGATATAAAGACTACTTCCAAATAAGAGCAGGCCTGAGGGAGTGGTCTGATGGGGACTTATAGATAGATTGGATTGGAACAGGCGGGAAGGGCTGGGCTCAAACTTGGCTTGGGACTGTCTGGAAGATATTGTGGATAAAAATGGGAAGAGGCAAGTGTTCTCAGTGAAGGGAGAATGACTTTATTTTCCAGAAATGTGGGACTACCTGGTTACCCCATCTACTCCTTTCTTCTCCTATGCTTCTTTTGTATCCCACCCCCAAAACACTCAGTGAGTCAACAGACAATGAGCCAGTCCAGAAGCTTATCACAGAAGCTTCAAGTGATCATTACAAATGAAGACACTGATGTTGTGAAGAAAACTATCTCTGACCTTGACTCTTGATTTCCAGTATACTGAGCCACCCATACCATCTCCTAACACTGCACCTGGCTCCTACTTTCCCAATTTGATCCAGACTTATAACTCTCTGTCTACTTTGTCTTGTTCTTCTGGCAAGCTTGTCTTTTGCAAAAGAAGGCTGTTCACAGACTCACAGGGTTGGGACCCTTGCTGACTGGTTGGTGGTGATTAAGCTATCTTCTGATGGTGATTGGCCAAAATTCCTCTGGTCCTTAATTGCTGTCCTCTTCCAGGAAGGAGAGAGTACCATAATTCATTCATATATATTTTTTGTAAATAAGTTGCAAAGGCAGATTCTAAAACCATAGTCAGAGTCCTAATATTTTTGCAGATAAATACTTATTTTTTCACTGATTCATTTGGATGGCTCCCACATGCCTGAAACAAATTGCATGTTGGGAAAAAGTATCTCTTAGATTATATGATAAATTCAATAAAAAATGGGATTCAATTTACACAAATTCACTTTACATGTCTTCATAACAACACAGCTATTATGATGTTCATTCCCAAATCACTGACGTCATGATAGATGAAACTCTTGAGAGGAATGGCATTCCTAGCTGAGTGTCTAGAACTGTGGTTTCCTGTCTGCTGAGTGTCTAGAACTGTGGTTTAACTATTCCTACTTCCTCTCAATGGGCCCCAGAATGTTCGCAACAATCTACCCCTACTGTTTAGCCTGGAGGTGAAGAGGACAGTGGTTTACACACTCTGGATGTATGAATTTTCCATCTTGGCAAGAAAGCCAAAGTGGTTGCGTTGGTGTGTTCACCAGCTTTTCCCACTGTTTTTCTCCAGCCCCAGTTCCCTCCTCCCTCAGTTATAAAGATCCCCATGGAAAGTGTCCCATCAGATCCCCAAAATGGTATCCACTGCATTGCCAGTAAGTAAAACACATGGTGTCTCTCCCTTCCTCCTCACTGTCACTAACCCTCTGTCTGTTCCCTTAAGGAACTTCCATCTGTAACTCGGGGGCATTCTGTGCTAGACAGAGATCAAAGAGAACTGAGCCGCGTAGGTTGGGACTCTAACCATATGGAAACCCCAAAGCAACAGCCTATAGATTCTTCTCACTGATCTTCACTTTAATTTAGCCCAAACCTCTCACTTCTGCCCTTCCTCTGGTGGCATCCCCTGGCCCTCTGCTCCGTTGTTTCAGGCCATACCAAGCATGTCCCCCAGAGCCATCTGTATTTTCCAGGGGTTGTTAAAATGATTGTGAGCTCAGATGAGAGTCAAGCTTTACCTTGGGAAAAATGGGCATCTGGATGACAAGTTGGAACTGAAAGTCCTAGTCTTGTCTGTATGACTCACAAGCCCTCTGCAAATGCCAAATGGGAAGCTGCCTGCAGGAGTCACACATTGCTTATGACCCTGTGGGAGTCTGTGGCTGCCTCTAACTGCACGGTCTGTCCTGGAAGTCTTCAAAAAATCCCAACACAAGTCCAGGCCCTGATGTTCATGTTATAGGACTTTCCACTGTCCTCAAAGATGGAGATTAAAAATGGGTCACCAGGAGATCCCACCAGCACCATCAAGGGCCCCTGAGGACTTCCTGTCACCACCCTCTACCCTGATACATCATGATCTTTTGGAGTCCCTCATTCTCATGCCCTGCTCTCTCTAGTTTCCTTCCATCATTCTTTCTATCCCCTGACCCTTCCCACACCTCACTGACTCCCGACCCAGCTAAGAGCCCTTTGTGTGAAGGACTGAGCTCAAAGCCACACTGCCCCGAAGGCCCCTGCATTTCTCTTAGTGTTGCCAAAGGGTGAGAGAATAGAAGAGAAAGGAGATGGTGGGGAGATCCTGGAGAACTAGAACTCAGACCTGCTTCATCTCTGATATTTTAATTTTCCTGCCAGGAAAAAGATCTTCCAGTTGGAGTTACTCACTCTGATGCATCCTTCGGTGGCTCAGAACTGGATCGCAGGTAAAGGCTGTTAGGTTGACTTTGCAGTTTTACGTAAGAGGCTAAGCAATGACCAGAAGTGGAGTTCTCAGGCTAGCTATCTCAGTAGAAAGCCTTTGCTGCCCCACCACTGGGAGACAAAGGCTGACCAATCTGATCAGCAGAGTCAAGTCACAAGGAAGTCTCCTCCTTACTGACATCAACATACTTACAACACACAAAGGCATTCAACTTTAGAAAAAAAATTATTGCAAAATATTACAAAGAGGGGGGCTGGGCATTTAGCTGAGCAGCATAAGCACCTGCCTTGCAAGCAGGCACTTGTGAGTTCGATCCCTGGTACCGATAAAAAGGAAAAAAAGACAAAAAAAAAAAATTACAAAGAACATTGAAATCAAATATTTTAAAAAGAAAACCACATACAAGAAAACTATGTATGGCTTGAGTATATATTAGTGAAAACCAGAATGAATGCATGCTGAGGATCAAAACACCAGATACACTAATACTTAATGTACTACAATAACAATAGAGTTAATTATCAATGGTCAGAAAGGGCATTAAGGGAAATTAACTAAAAACCAGTGATTATGTAGGGTATGAAGGTTTCAAGTCCAGGTTCCAGGAGCCTTGAGGCCAATAACGTGATTTCTTGATGTTCTTAATGAGAAGCCACCCATGCAAAAAAAATGGCACTAGTTGATTACATAAAAGGACTCAAAAATTAAGAATTCCAGGACAAGAAAGCCCTTGCCTCCATTATCACTATGAAGCTGGTAGAGGCAATCCTGTACCTCACCATGTGCCCTAGAATAAACAAAAGTCAGTTGGTCCTAGATCCAAATTTGCAAGAGCACAGGCTACCCCAAGACTAGTGGCAGATAAGTCTACAGCATTTCCAAAAACCTATTAACTTACATAAATCTCTAGGACAAGATCAGAAATGCAGAAAACTTGGTAACTAGAAATGATACTACCAAACCACACTGAAATTTTGCCAAATCTATGAAAATACTAGATGGAAGTAAAAATCACCAACTAGCAGGATTTCATCTCTATGGACAGAAAGCCTCAGCAACATGATCTAGTTTAACAAAGACTAAGCATCCAGGACTCACCAGACCTCATGCATGATCCCTGGAGATGCAGAAGCACAGGTAAACAAAGACATGGAGCCCTGAATGCAAGGACAATAATGGGCACACATTAGAGAAAGGTGAGTGACCTTCGGGAGTGAGTCACCTTCTCTGGAGAATCTAGAGCAGATCAGTAGGATCCTGTCAGATGGGTAGAATGGGCAGAGCAGAGGAGGAAAGACATTTTAGGCAGGGAGAACAGGCCTGAAACAGAAACACACAGGGCAAAGAGCAAGGACAGGGATGCTGGGCATCAAACTAGGAGTATAGGCAGGAATTCAAGCAGAGAAAGTCCTCCTTGCTATGCTAAGGAGCTTGGGTTCTGTCCTTTGAACAAGGGGAAAACAATCTCATTCGTGATTTAGAAAGTTTGCTTTGGCAGTGATTTGAAAATAGGTTGAAACACAGCCAGGTCAGTTCAAGGACTGGCCAAAGCTTGTATGGCCAGACACTTTCGTCAAGGCAGAACTATTTGCACTAGAGTCCTGCCCTGGGCATGGTGTTTAAAACACTGAAAAAAAAAACAGTTAATCATTCCTCTTTCCTACTTCGCTCTTTCCAGCATCACCTTGCACTTCAAAATCTCCTGTCCAGCTTCACCTGCTTTCAATTACTCGCGGAACCCCCTCTTCATGGTGCCACAGGTGAAGATAGAGATGGAGTCGGACTATGACTTCACAGATGTGGATGAGTATGCAAGAGAGGCCGACGGTGAGACCACCCTCTAGGATGATGCAGCTTCTCAGACTGGGGAGAGGGTGAGGACCTGACAGAGCATCAGTTTTATATCTGGGTCAACCTTAACTTCTCTGTGTCTGTGTCCTTACTTACAAATGGAGCGAGTCCTTTTGGCTAATAGAAAACTGGAGACCTCTCAGTGAAAAGTCCTCCTTAGATGCAAAGTTCTCCCCTTCCCTGTGTTTCAAGTGCAGTGTAGCTAGAAATTATGCTTCTTTTTAAATAAAAAAATACACATTTGCCAAAGTCTTAAGTAACATAAATGGGCAATAGTTAACTTATATTTAAAACAAATATCAATTAAAAATTTTAAATTGAAATCCAGATGATTTGAAAGAACTCAAAACACTCCTACTGCCAAGTACAGTGGCGCCCACCTGTAATCCCAGCACTATGGTGTTGAGGCAGGAAGGCTGCAAGTTTGAGACCAGGCTGAGCTGTATAAATCAGATCGTGTCTCAAAACAAAAACAATGCCAAACAAATTCTTGTGTCAATGGACCAATGTTGAAACATTTGCTTTGTAAATTTGCATATTAAGAAAGGCTGAAGAGGTTACATCTTTTCTGTGCATCTCATTCTCATTCTGTTAAGTTTGAACCATCTATCTTATGGGGCCTTGACTAGAAATGGAACTAACGGTATTCCAAGATGAAAAGCCAGTCTTAAAAGTTTCTGAGTGTATCTTTTAGAATTAAAATCATCCTTTTTAAAGTCAAGTCTCAAACTTTATGTTAGATCAACATGTGGTTAAAATGACCCTAATTAATATCAAATTTTTAACACCTGGAATCGTATTTTTGCCTGCATTTGGGTAGGTCCTTTCTGCAAGTTTCCAGTGGCTGGTACCCAAAGTCAAACCTCCATTCACATGAACTTACATGTTAGACAGCTAACATTTTAGAAGATTGTAACTTTGCACTGTTAATCAACTAGTACTTTAAGGTAATAATTGGAAGCAATTTGGGTAATTAAAACCAGCTATTAAATAAGCAAGACTTGTCCCCATGAAACTGAAGATTAGACATTATTTTCAATCCACATTTAGTTAGTATGAACCATATTTATGTAACACCTATTATTGCCCAATAGCCACAAAACCTATTTCCTTTTTCTAAAACAGCTGTGGACTTGAGTCTTGAGTAAATCACATTAGTTACATTTACTCAAGACGATGAATACAGGTACTTTTTCATTTTTTTTAGAGACAAATGACACTAGCTCATTAATATCTTGGATTAAAAGATCAGGTAATTGACTCTGTAATCTTCAGAGCCTAACAGTTCCTGGTCCATAAAACATTCTCAGAAAGTTTCATGAAATTTAATTTCAGAGATCTATTCCAAGGGTTACTGTCAAGAGGTAAAGCTCTAAGCCTCTATTACTCCTGATAGCAGAATCACTTAACAGTCACTAACCCAAAACCTCTCAAATTTAAGTGTAAATTCTTTATCTTCCTTTGTAGCAATACAGGGAAAGCTAACAATCTCACCTGAACGTGTTTTAGTCTCACTGATTTGGAATGGGACTTTGTCCAGATTGTAGAAATGTTATATGGCTTCAGGAGTACGTGCTTAGATAAATCAAACAAACTGGAAAACTACGTTAGTTTTGTTGTTGTAAATTGATCTGTGTAATTTTTACCTTATATATCATTTGTATTTTGTATATACACAAGCCTTTCATTTTCAATGGCCATTAACAGGGTGACATATTGTTACTTCTCCGTGCAGTAAGCCAGTAATTTTTTCCATGTTTAATGTAACTATAATTCAATAAAACTTAATTCTGTCCACTCATCTTTTTGTTTAATAATGTAGCTTAGGGTTAGTAGGTGTGGCATATAGATACAAGCTATATCTTATAAAGTCCAGCAGACTTTCCAAAGAGTAAAGCCAGCTGGCACAGAAACAAGGAAGAAGCAGGTCAGCCTCCCAGTGTTTTTCTTCTTTCTGCCTCAAGCTGCCGAGAGCAGAAGCTACTTCCTTCTGTATGAAGCCCAGCTATACAGCTTTGGTTAAAAATACACACGGACCTCTCCCAGCCTCAAGATATGCGCGGCAAATACCCTCCAATCTGTCAGAGCAAACACATACTCTAAACACTCGTGTGCATACATACACAGGAGGATACAAAGTAGGATTTTTAAAAATTTATTACAGTAAGATACATTGCCATTAATGCCCCTCACAATTACCCCCCCCCCACACACACACACTGCAAACACAGATGTCCCATCATGTTTGCTACTTTCTAAAGTCCTTTTGGTTGTACTGTTGTGGCTGCTGGGTGTCGTGAGATTCAAAATGTTTCGGTTAATGATTATTTTGACTTTAAGAGCCAGAAGTTGCACACTGTACCCAATGAGTAAGGTGAATGAGGACACACCATGTTTTTATGGGCTGCCTTTCTGTTGAATATGGCAGCAGCACTCACCATATTTTGACTACAGTTTTATAAAGAGACACACAAAAAACGACCTTCCAGAACTGCTTCAGAAAGTGACAAGAACAATGGGATAAGTACGTTCAAAATGGGGGGATATGTTGGAGAAGGGTAATGCCAATGATCCTTTACTGTAATAAATTTTAATAAATATTCATCTATTTTGATCATACCTTGTACATATTCATTGTGGGGTGTGTGCATGTGTGTGTTGAGAACTTGGCAAGGGGGAAATCCTTTGTAAATCCCTTGTAGCAATGTATAAATTGAATGCATGTTTAAAAAATATTCAGGGCCAGGGACTTAGCTCAGTGATGCAGCACCTGCCTGGCAAGTGTGAGGTCCTGAGTTCAATTCCTGGTACCCACCCCCAAAAAATATTCCTTAAATACTAAAATAAATAAACCTTAAATACTAAGCTCCTGGCTTGGCACTTCCTATTGGGATTTGAAAGGACCCGGCTGATTTAAACATAGTTCTTTAAATCAATTTGTTGTAGGTTATAGGTTGGGTGTTACCAAATGTCTAGTAATAACTAGACTGATTATATCCAACAAGGAAAAAATTAGGTCACAAGTAAGATAACAGGCAGACACAGTATTTCAGAAACTCATTTCACACCAGACAAATATGTTTTATTTAAAAAACAAAACCAAAAAACAACCCTTTATCAGAAAGTCTAATTAAATTCAATATTAACTCAAGCTCTTAAAAATCTTTCAGGAAAGCCAACAGTTTATATGAAAGAAAAGCAGGCAGCTGCTGACAATTCTTTGGTGGAAAAGTACGTTGCATACTTATGATACAAGCTGCCCTAATGATTATCAAGCCCAAGTTTTGTTTTTCAAAAATAGATTTCAAAGTATACCAATGTATACTTTCAAAGTATACCCATAACAATACAAAAATTGAACAATGAATTTAAGGATATAGCAAAAGCCAAATATGACAATACACACAAATAATTTATAAAACCAGCCTTTCAATCCTAGAAAACTAAAATGGGGAGAACTCACTGAAGGGTAACATACATAAAATGGGGACAGCAGCAAATGGAACAAACCTAAACATTTCCCCAATGACTAAGTCACAGAAAGACAACCAGTGACATACAGTTTTTTCTTTTTCCCCAGCCAATTCAGTTCTCTTCAGATAAATTTGGTTACCAATCAATACGTACAAAGTTAGTCTTCTTCCTCTACTCAGTTACCACCGTTTCTTCCTTTCCACATTTTTTCTGGTTTTCCTCTAGCAACGTTTTTCCTTTGGTTTGACTAGTTGATCTCAAAAGGCTTAGAACCTAAGATGAGTATCAACTCTTATTGGAATAGCACTTGGGAAATGCAACTCTTGAAAAGGCAAATTTTTAACTTAAGCAACTTGACGGAGTTAAGCATCCATTCTCAATGTGACAGTGTCTCCCACGATAATCACTAAGTTAACGGCTTCTCTCAGCTGGATTACACAACCCAGCGTGAGCCTGGAAGAGCTCCTGGTGAATCCTGCAAAAGCCATGTACACGCACAACCACCCACTTAAGCTTTCAATAAATATGAAGCATATTTTAAACCATTTCAGCGAATAAATAAAAGTCTTGCATTTCTGTTGGCCTGCTTGCTTCTTGGCTGGCTTGGAGTACCGTTCGGGGCACAGCAGACACACAGTGAGTTAATTGGTGGCTACTCCGAGCTCTTTAGATTTCAGCACTTCCCGCTCTTCAGGCCGCAGCACTTTTTTTGCAGCAATAATGGTATTCTTCATGAGCATCGCCACCGTCATGGGACCAACGCCCCCAGGGACTGGAGTGATGTAACTGGCTTTCTTCTTCACTTCTACACAGAAACAAGAGAGTCTGCTTCACTGATAGCAAAGGACATGCACACGTATGTATTTTAGCATACTAAAAAAGAATCACGCAAAGAAAAAGCAATAAACAAGCACCTTCATTAACTCCAAACTCAGTTAAAAAAAATACATCTACTGCAATTTGAGACCATACTCATAAATGAAATAAATCAGATTCACATGCATAAACATTGTACTGTCTTCCTAGTGTAGCTGAAAGAGTAAATAAGATCCAAAATGCACAACAGATAATGTGAAATGGGAAGAAACTGTTCAAAAGGAAAGAGAAACTGGGATGAAGGAAAGGACAAAAGGAAGGGAAAAGAAAAAAAATACTTTATACACACACACAGACACACATACAAGACAGTTAAGATAGTTATATTACTAATTTCTTTTAGTTCATTGAAAAGGTTTTTATCTATATTGTTTGATCAATTTTCATTCCCATATCTCATAATATGAGCAACTACTTTGAAGATAATAATATGCAATGTATTACCTATTGTTACTCTCCTACAATCTTATTTTAAAATTTTGTATCACTGTTTTTACTCTTTAAAAAAAAACTCACATCTCCATAGTAGGAGTAAAGGTTTCTGAACACACTAATGAAACACACATATAATACACAGTTGTCAGTATTTACATATCTAATAACCTAATTGTTTACTAGCCATAATCTCCTACCACATTAAAGAAATTAAACTCAGCAGGTTAATTACATGGGAGGTACAACACTAATATAATAAGAATTACCTCCATACTTATCTATAACATTTAAAATTTTCACTAGGCAAAGTAAAACTTGATCTTTTTTTGGCCAGGCAGGCGCTGTGCCACTGAGCCACGCTCCTGGCCCTTAACCTGATCTTAAGAGGAAAATACTTGGACACCTAAAGTGCTTTAACAAAAAGCTGGAGATAAGATTTTAGTGCAAATTTAGATAAATATCTTAATTGAAAGCAGATCCTTCCTAAATATCCATTCAACGTAGTATTTACTAATATATTTTTAAACAATTACACCATTTACCTTCAAAATCCACATCTCCAACCAACTTAGGTTTAGAAGTTACAGGATCCTGAATTCTGTTTATTCCCACGTCGATGACTGCTGCTCCTTCCTTGATCATATCTGCTGTAATCAGATTTGGGATACCTGGCAAGAGAGACAGGAATGACCAATTTAATACTGAAAAGCTTCCAGCTGCATGTGGTGGCCATGCTTGTACCCGGCACTCTGTGAAGCTGAGACAGGACAGCAAGGTAAAGCCACCCTGGGTAACTCAGCAAGACTCAGTCTCAGAAAAAAAAAAACACACACACCAAAGGCTGGGGAAGCAGCTCAGGCTGAAATCCTGGGGTTCCATCTTTAGTACTTAAAAAAAGGAGAAAAAGCCAGGTGTGGAGATGCACATCTGTAATCCCAGCACTCCGGAAGCAGAGACTTTAGAAGGATCACTGTGAGGTGGAGGCCAGTGTAGACTATGCAGTGAGCTCGAGGCCAGTGTGAACCTACCTCAAAAATATAACACAAAATATCCACTGGTCATACAGTTGTCCTTCAATTTCCAGAGACCTGATAAAAACTAATTGTCATGTTTCATAAAAACCTACATGTGAGAGCGGTGGCACAGGCCTGCAATCCCAGCACGCTGGGAGGGTAAGGTAAGAGGAACTCAAGCTTGAGCCCGCCGTTGGCAACTTGGTCATTTAAAGAGACCCTGATTTAAAACATTAAACAGGGTTGGATGTAACTCGGTACAAAGGTTTAATCCCCAGAACTGAAAAAGGAAAAAAGAAAAAAAAAAAAAAAAAAAAACTATGACAGACATTAACCCAGGAACCATTTAAATTTCATGCGGCAAATGGAAGCGTCTTGAGGTGTCAGGAATAACCTGCACCTATGTAGTCTGTAATGCAACACCAGAACCAGTATTCCCACATCTTCATCCGCATGACAATGACAGCTCCAACAGTTATGAGGGGACAGACGCACGAATGGCACCAGAGAGGTACAACCTCATGCTTCTAAGTGAAGTCTTTCCGCTCCCATTTCCGAGTTCTTACCTGCAGCAGACACTACAATATCGGCAAGAATTGTGTGTTTCTTCAGTTGTTCTTTAGGAGTATAGCGATGAGATATTGTGACAGTGGCATCACCTATGAAGAAAAATAATGCACAATTTGGTTTCGAATCATGGTTGGGATTGAATTAGTTCTTAACCAGTTAAGTTATTACAGAAACTCAACATCTCTGAAAAACTGCTCATCCTGTATTTTCTGGATAGTTCACTGTCATTCTTTTGTAAGTTAATATTCAACATAGTTCTTACATATTGGTTCTACATGCATCCTTTGAAGTTGTTCATAATTAAGTTTATTTTTAACCACATTCCTCTTCCTATTTCATAGCCTGTCAAGAATTTTACTTTTTAATTTCAACGCTTGGGACACCGAGGCAGGAGGACTGCTTTGAGTTTGAGGCCAGACTGAGCTACATAACAAAACCTTGTCTCCAAAAAAAATTTACCTTTTACCTTTTTTAAGCAAAATACCGCTAGAATTACTCATGTTTTTCAAGCATGCCGCAAAATATTTAAAATAGTTTGTTATTGATATAATCATATAAGGCCATTATTAAAATAATTATGTGTTACGTGGCAAATCACAGTAACAGAACTTGATGTGCCAGCTGCAGTCATTAAGTTAACCCCCTGCATTTTTCTACCAAATGACACAGATCAGGACACTGACCTCAAATAAGAACTGCTTCTTAGCCTCAACCCACGCTTTACTCAAAACTCGAATTTTGGTTTTTTTCTTTTTTTGGTCTTTTTGAGACAGGGTCTCTCTATGCAGTTCAGGTTGGCCTTGAGCTCAATTTGTAGCCCAGGCTGATCTCGAACTCTCAACAATCCTCCTGCTTCAGCCCCCTGAGTACTGGGATTACAGGTGTGCGCCACCACACCCAGCTTCCAAATTTATTTCTGAGGCTAGTTCTGTAGCAAATGAACAGTAAATACTTTGAGAGGAGTAAATACTTCTGTACAAAGGTTACTCCCTGAGTAACTTAAGAATTACAACCAACAGAAAGCATCACCAAGTCACTGTGTATATAATTCCTCTACACAGGGAGAACATACTGTTCTGCAAGCAATTCCCTTACCTCCAGGACGTTCGTGTGCCCCATCTGTGTGCAGTAACATTGCGATGGGCATTCCAACGTTTTTTGACCTTCCAGCCACAACCACATTCTTTCCTAGGGTGGGAATACCTATGGAAAAAACAAACAAACAAAATACATACATGTACCTACACGTCC